CCTTATCTTCTTTAGATGAGTGCATGAAGTGCTGCATTTTAAAGGTATGATGGAGGATGTGCTTCTTCCGGCTGGATCATCAAAATAAGTGGTCCTTCTGATTGTCAATCATTCTGGCGATGTGTTTACGTACGTCCTACGTGCTCGTCCCCATTTTCACTTACCGGTAGTGAGTCTGACATAGTGGAAAAAATACAAATCCTCTTTCGTAAAATAAGCATGTATGAGCGATGCAAACAACAACTTTTAAACAGAGCCTGCACGAGGAGAAATGGGCTGGTGCACGCTCTCGCATGCATTTAAAGGCATTTTAGGCTTTCCCTCTCGGGAAATGGTACAGGGTTGTGCATGTGCATTTTTATTAAAGTGGAGAGAGCGGGTCTTTTCAGAAATTTGTGAAAATTCCCTAACTATACCTTTAAAATTGTTTCACCTACTTCATGTAGTGAGATTGATTATTTCAGCGATCCCTGATTCTGCTAGTCAGGCAATAATTTCCAAACTTATAGAATAACAAGGTATCTTTTCTTCCATTAAATAGTTGTTTCCACCCTTTATAAAGGAAGCTGCAATTTGGAAATTTACTCTGGTTGAATTTGTTATTAATATTAATTTTATGCTCTAAACAAATAAATGAATAAAAGCACAAAAAAATGATCTGTAGGAGGAACTATAAAGCACTGCATAAAAAGAGATGCCTGCATCTAAATGAAATTTTTATCTAACTTTATTGACATGTTTTGGTATATTAAAGATGTTGGTTTTCTCGGCGTTCTTCCAGACACTGAATTTGCAGCCCCTTCCCTGATATTTGCCCTTTAAGAAGGGGACAAATGTCAGCTCGTACATGCGGCAGAGTGAGAGAGTGACGCACTAATGAATTTTCTATTTTACCTGCAGACAAACACAAATATGTCAGCCAATTAAAATTCACGTTTTCTTCACTGATCATTGAGGTGTTTACACTGTTGGTTATCATGTTCTTTTTGTAGCCTGGGGTTTAAGAAGCATCTAAAAAAAACCTGCCAGACTCAAACGCCCTGATAAATTGGTTTTACTTGTGAAACTATTTGCTTTACTACTCAATCAAATCTGTTTTTGGACGTTACTTCCATTTCATTCTTCATTAAATCTTCTTCAAATTCTTCTTCATTATATTCCGCCCCCCTCTTTATTTGTTGGTCTCTTGCTCCTTTTGAATGGTTTTGCAGGAATTATTTGAGTTATGAAGACAAACCTTCATGCAGTGATACTGGACAGAACTTTGAAAATACAAGAGTTGTTTTATAGTTTGGAAATTTACAATGACATGATTTGGCAGATTTGTGAATATACAGCTTATGTATGTATGTAAGGGTTCCTATAAGATGTCAGTAAATCGGTTAAACAGATGCCATATCTATATATTTCCTTTGCCAGGATCAATAAAAAAATCTTGCAGTTGGACTCAGTTTTATATGGAGGACCAACTCTGCCATATTTAAAAATAAATATAGAAATAAATAAATCCTCAATAAATAAGCATACAATTAATTTCCCCAAAAAATACAATAAACAAATAAATGTAAGTGGAAATGAAATTATACAGTGAGACTTAAAAAAAAAAAGTAATATTATAATGGACAATAAATAAATAAGGTAATTATTACAAAGGCGAATAAATAAATAAGCTAATTAAAAGAGATATATACATTTGTTTCTCACTGTATAATTTCATTTTTTACTTACATTTATAAGTTTATTGTATTTTGGGGGGCAATTAATTGTATGCTTATTTATTTGTTGAGCATTTATTTATTTCTGTATTTATTTTAAAATATAACAGTTTAATGCTGTCTGATCAAATTTAAATAACTTGTACAAATGCTCTTTGTGAAGGTTTTCAAACACCTTTGAGGGTTTTATAAAAAAAATTACATGACACACCAACAAGAAGCAGTGCAGGGTGTGAGATAGAAAGAAAAGAGCATTGGGTTTCAATTTTTTTGACATAAAATCTAAAAAACTGAAAAAATCTTCCATGAATTAACATAAAATCCCTAAATCTGTTTATTTTATAACCAGCATTTGCTGCAATCACAGCTGCAAATCCTATGGCATATGCATGGCACATTCACACATCAGGACCATTCCACTTACAACATGTTCAAGATGAGTCGTGTTTGATAGGGAGCGATGTAAACTGCTAGATGAAACCTATAAATAGACCTTCCTGTGTCATTCCTTTAGTACTGGCTTTCCTCTTGCCACCATTCTTCTCAGACCACCTGTATTTATACAAATTCATACTAATCACATGATTTTTGAATGGACTTAAATGCACAGGATTTTATTTAATGGCATCAGATTAAAGTGGGCTGAATGAAGCCACAAAGTCGATTTCCTTTTTAAAGGAAAAACCATGCATCACTTTTTCATTCCACTTCATAATCATGTTCTACTTTCTATTCATCTATCACTAAATCATCAATGAAATGCATTGGAGCTTGTTGGCGTAATGGTGTAAAGTACTTTAAAAAACCAAGCATTATGAATGCTTTTGAAATTCACTGTAAGTGATTGTTTTTGAAAATACAGAAGTTAATGTATTACACATTCGGTTTCTGTAAGAACCTGTCAGGTTTGATTTAAATTAGCCTGGTTTCTAACAACTCTTTCAAAATAAAACACCTGCACAACATGGCCCCCATGTTACCCTACTGAATTGTGTTTCATGTATCATTAAATTGGGACATTTATTCTCCAGAAGGAGGATGTTTTATCTCAGCCAACTGAACAAGGAAGCTCCAGAGGAAAAATTCGTATTCATTACTCACTATCAGTTTAAACATGTGTCTGGACATGTTTAAACTGAACAAATTAGATCTTGCTGCTTCGCTCTATAAACATTTCAGTGGAAACAGGCAGAGAACTGTGCAGCATTGCAGCCAAATAAAGGGGCTGAGAAAACAGTTGATCTTATTCCCCTTCATACACATTTACTCTTATTAAAACTGTTGTTTATTACTAAAATTGTTTGCTGTCATTGAGTTCCGGAGAATGAAAGCTGTGGTTAATGTAAAACCTGGAGGCTCTCTTTGTTCAGTGGATTCAAGGCTCCGCAAAGATTTAAGCTTTGTTTTTTTCTTAGCCTCTCTTTTTACTCACCGTCTCCACATTTATTTTTGCTGGTGTTGCGCCGATACCATTTTTTGGCCCCGATACCTGGCTGTGCAGTATCGGCCGATACTGATACCATACCAATACCATCTGTTTGAAATGTATGAGTGTGTCTATATGAAGAACTGCATACTACTTGGATGTAAAATACCGTAATTTTCAGACTACAAGCCGCACATGAATATAAGCCGCAGAAGCTAAATTGCATGATGTGTACATATACAATCTGCACCGGACGATAAGCCGCAGGTTTTTTGTGTTTAATTACCATATGTTTCTTGCACAGAGAGGATTGTCGGGAAAGAGGCAACTGTTTGGGGAAGCTCCTATTTATTAAAATTTCAACACAATTAAATTGAGACAATTCTTCCAGCGTCTCACCATTGACTCGTTGATTCCGAGGTTACGTGCAGCGGTTCTATTTCCTTTGTTTACTGCCAAATTGACTGCCTTTAACTTAAGAGCTGCATCATATGCATTTCAACGTTTGTTTTCCATATTGTGTCACACAAAGTGTCTTGCGCTCGCAATGTTTGCTTTCTCGGAGTCTGCTTCCGGAGGATGTCCGCATTCCCGCGCATGCGGCTACTTGTGTGTTGAAGCAAATGTGACGTCAACATGGTGGATGGTAAAATCCATAGATTTAGGTACCGTATTAACCCTAGTGGCTGTTAGCTGTAAAAGTCCATAGATAAGTCGCATTGTTATATAAACTGCAAGGTCGAAAAATGGTCGAAAAATTGGGGAAAAGTTGCGGCTGATAGTCTGAAAATTACTGTAATTGCCATCATGGCTTTGTCAAGCTGCTGCCTACCTTTGTGAAGCAGGAAAAAGACTAATACAATGTGAATCAAATAGAAATTTTTATTGCCGACCTGAAATGGGTGACAATAGTTGAATAAACTTTTGGCTCTCAAAGTGTTATCGGTTCCCTATATGTTGGTACTCCGCGATACTGGTATCGGCATTGATGCAACACAAATTTTTACCACTTGTAAAAATTAGTAAAAAGCTTTAAGGTTGGTTAATATTCTATGACAAATATTATTATCATTGCATCATGCAGAGACAAACCATAAAAACATTTCGGATAATATAATCTAGAGTCCTGAGCCCAGGATCACAGTCTGATCTTGAGCTCACTGTGGTATCTAATAGTATATTACGCTGAGATGAAAAAAGCTGATTCTTTTTTTGATTTTGGTCATAATTTTACAGCATTATGTTTTAAATAACAGTTTTATACATCTTTTTTTTTTTTTCAAAATGCCATTGTACTTCAAAGAGCTTATGTTGCTGCAAACTCTAACAAGGTTTCTAACAACTTTAAAAGAGAAACTGACCCACAGCATGATGGTTCCCCCGCCTTAGCCAACTTAAGCTTCATGAGCTCTCTGTAAAAACAGTGGACATTTGGACACAGCAATACACCGTTGGGAACCAGTTGTAACGGAAACAAGAGTTCGACAAAGGTTCCTAGGTCCAAACTGTGTTAACTGGAACTGAGGGAAGCCACCTCCTATCTTGGATGTGTGCATAATGCAAAGGGTTTTTTGCATATTTGCAGAAATGGGTGTCAATTTGTTTACAAAAAATTCTCTCCCTTTAATTAGTAGCCAAATAGATTGATTTCTGTCAAATCTGTAGTGTGATTTTTCAGGTGAAATAAGATATGAATTTATCTAAAAGCTTTTTATTACTTTCTCAAGTAAAATGCAGGAAGCAATCAGACTAAACTCTGTAATTCAGCCAACAGAAGCTCTTGGCTTTGACACAGATTTTTCTACATGCTCAGATTGTTTTATGGTTTATTGTTTTTTCTTCCCTCCTGTTTCTCTCAGACCTGATCCACTGCACCAATGAGCTGAACGTCAGCATCCCCCATCTGGCAGACACGCTGCTGGAGCGCACGACAAGCAACAGCTGGATAGTGGTTTTCAAAGCGCTCATCGCCACACACCACCTCATGATGTACGGCAGCGAGGTAAGCTCAACATATCAATGCAGCGACTTCTGAGACAAGGAAAAACACAGAACAGCGGTTTATCATCTCAAGGTTGAAATGGAGAACATTTTTGTGACAAAACTACATTTTTTTAAAAACCTGTAATGTGGTGACTATCCCGTTCAATTACACTTGAAAACAAAAAAATATGCAGAAAAGAAAAAGCAAAAAAAAAGATGCTATTTTTTAAAAGGTTTTCACTCTCTTCAAAAATCAAGAGTCAAGAATCAACAACGATTGTTTTCACAGCTGAAGTGGTTTACGAAATGATGGAGAGTGGATTAATAAAAGAAAAAGCATCCTCCATACAGCAATCCCCCCCAGTAGGAATATTGCTAGCGTCCAGTCCAGCCGGGATGGTATCTGAGATGCCCTTCAGGAGGATCCACCATATTTGTAAAATACTGTTAAACCAAAATCTTTCATAAATCTGAAATTCATCTCATTCAGCTGGGGAGCTTTTTGTTGTTGCTTTTGGATGTGATCGACATCTCTCAAAGAAAACCAATGCAACAATTTATCTCCTTTTATTCACATTTTCCAAAACAATGCAATCTTGAAATGTTTCATACCCTTCTTAACAATCTGAAAAAGAAAATCCTTATCTGCACAACAACAACCAAACCTCTGAAGTTTAAAAAAAATGACCAGTTGGTCCCAGATCAGATTACTCACCTTTAATCGGCTGCCAACAGTCCCAGGCTATGTGTGCGTGGTCCTTCACTGTTTTCCTGCAGATAGGAGAAAAAAACAAACCCTACCTTTGTGCAAAAAGCTTTATTTTTCTATTTTATCAAAAGGAGTAACAGTTCATACAATATATTGGTTGCAAATTAGCCCTCCCTCACATACAGGGCTGTCCCTAAGCTCTGTTATCATCACAGTAAGAATAAAGAAACAAGCTTATCTGCTGAGAAACAGAGTGAAACCCTATTTGTCATCAAGTCTACATTGTAAATACCGATGGTGGGTTGTGATACTGAGAACCTCGGGTGGGAAAATAACAGACTTGTCTAAACGGTCCTTTTTATTTATAAAGCTCAGGTTATCTGTCTGTCTGTTAACAAAGTATTGGTTTAAATGTGCGTGAATGTATGGACTCGCTCTCTCTGCAACTCTTTTTTTTTTTTTTTCCAACATTACATTGTTCTGCACTGCAAAAAATTTCTTAAATCAAGTGTATTAAGCCTTAATTTGAGCAGGTAAATAAGATAGTTTGCCAATGGAATGAGTATTTTTACACTTAAAATAAGTTAATTAGATAATATGCACTCGAAACAAGACAATGCAACTGATTTTTCTTAATTCAAATGTAAATCATCTTGTTCCACTGGCAAAGTGTTTCATTTACCTCCTCAACTTAGGATAAAATGCACTTATTTTAAGAAAAAATGACTTATTTAGATTTAAATTTTTTGCAGTGTGTTTAAATGAGACGATTAAATTGTATTTTTTTTTTCTATTAAGCAACATAAAATAATATTGGGTGTTACCTGGGGCTCTAGAGAAACGCTGAATGATGATGTTTTCTAGTCACATATCCTAATAATTAACCTCTTCTAAAACAAAAAAAGCTGGATATGCTGCTCTGCAGGTAGCTGCAGTATCTTTCCAGCTCTCCTCTGTCTCTCAGAGGGACATCTTGCTCGTGTCCGACGCAGACTGATGAAGCGTCCCGCTGACATTTCAGTGGTCAGCGTGATAAGTCGCCTCGCTCTGCTGCTTGCCCTTCTTCTCCTCAACAAGAGAAAAACATCAAACATGTTTCACAATGAGCAGTTCACATCAGATGAGACAGAAAGGATTCGGCAGACATGACCGGGAGGGTGATGACTCCCTCAAAGTATGGAAACATTAAAGCTTTTAGTGACTCCATTTGTGGCCTGATGGTTTGTGGCTGCATAAACTGCCCAGGTCTCGTTTTAACAGCTGGTTTTGAAGTTAGAGAAATCAGTGAGGGTATGAAATCAAAAACAAGATTATTACTCTGAAATCACAGGGATACACTCCACAAAAATATAAATGTAACACTTTTGGTTTTGCTCCCATGTTTTATGAGATGAACTCAAAGATCTAAAACTTTTTCCACATAAACAATAAAACCATTTCCCTCAAATATTGTTCACAAACCAGTCTAAATCTTTGAAGGTGAACACTTCTCCATTGCTGAGAGATAATCCATCCCACCTCACAGGTGTGCCATATCAAGATGCTAATTAGACACAATGATTAGTGTGCAGGTGTGCCTTAGACTGCACACAATAAAAGGCCACTCTGAAAAGTGCAGTTTTATCACAAAGCACAATGCAACAGATGTCACAAGATTCAAGGGAGGGTGCAACTGGCATGCTGACAGCAGGAATGTCAGCCAGAGCTGTTGCTGGTCTATTGAATGTTCAATCTTTACCATAAGCCATCTCCAAAGGTGTTTCAGAGAATTCATTAAGAATACATCCCACCAGCCTCACAACCGCAGACCGCGTGTAACCCCACCAGCCCAGGACCTCCACATCCAGCATGTTCACCTCCAAGATCACCTGAGACCAGCTGCTGAAACAATCGCTTTACATACCAGAACTGCGCAAAGTGTCAGAAACCGTTTTAGCGAAGCTCGTTGCCCTCATCATGGTCTCCGACTCACTCCAGTTCGTTGTTGTAACTACCTCGAGTGGGCAAATGCTCACATTTGCTGGAATCTGGTGCATTGGACAGGTGTCCTCGTCACGGATGAATCCTGTACACTGTTCAGGGCAGATGGCAGACAGTGTGTGTGGGTGAGCGGTTTTCTGATATCAATGTTGTGGATCAAGTGGTCCATGGTGGCGGTGGGGTTATTGTATGGTCAGGAGTCTGTTGTGGACAAAGAACCCAGGTGCACTTCTGGTCACAGTGGCCTTTTATTGTGGGCAGTCTAAAGCCGGACTTACACTGTGCAACTTTTTTGCCTTTTCGATGCGACTTTCCAGTTGTGCGAGGATTTTCTGATCGGGCCGACTTTCAACCTGATCGTGTGTCGTATAGTGTACAGGGGGTAAAGAGGGGTGATCAGCCTCTCACGACCGCCTCTCACGACCACCTCCCGATCAGGAATCGTGAGGTCGGGAGAAAATTTAACATGTTTGATTTTCAGTTGACCATCGTGGGCAAATCGCTCAGTGGGCAAACAAGGATTCTACTTCTTCTCAGACGAAAACACAGAAGCATGGTGGGGATACGAGTGAAATGGAGTTCTTTCTGTAAAATTGACGTAGTAGTCACGTTTGCTAAGCCATGTCTTTGTCCAAATACGTCGCCGCCTTTTCTTTTCAGGGCTTTCATCACAAAATTGCCAAGGCAGCATGTTTCACTCTAGTGAGCTTCATATTCCTTTTCTACTGGTTTGGCTTCTGAATAGATGATACCAAGTGGTAACTTCTCTCTCCGGGGCTGAGTCCCATGTGGTTTTTAGATGTGCAGTGTGAGCAGGTAGATCGGATCAGAGCGTCGGGCCGCACATGCATCGTAAGCTGTGAACTGTACGGTGTATTCTAGACTTAAGGCACACCTGCACGCTATTCATGGTGTCTAATCAGCATCTTGATATAGCACACCTGTAAGGTGGGATGGATTACCTCAGTAAAGGGGAAGTGTTCGCTATCACAGATTTAGACTGGTTTGTGAACAATATTTGAGGGATATGGTTTTAATGTGTATGTGGAAAAAGTTTTAGATCTTTGAGTTCATCTCAATGGGAGCAAAACTAAAAGTGTTGCATTTGTATTTTTGTTGATTATATCTCTTGGGTGATTTCATCGTAATAATCTTGTTTTTTCATTTCTCATCCTCACTGATTTCTATCCCTTTAAAGCCAGCTGTTAGAACAACGCCCAGTCAGTTTATGCAGAACCAAAATTGTTACGTTTATATTTCTATTGCGTGTATTAACCAAAGTAAGGTTGGTACTATTGCTCATTTAGCTGAAAATAAAGGAGTTAGTAGTTAAAATTGTTATTGGGTTAGAGCATTTTTAGTGAAAGCAAAGAGTTTTAGTGAATCCGTCTTTAATATTAAAATATTGTTATTTTCATTGTTGCCAACTAAAAAAAGAATTTAATTTATTGAGCACTTTTAAGTCCAGACTAAAAGAACCTGAGCTGACTTCCTTAAATTGCAATTTGCTTCATTTTTATGGCATTTTAATTTTATAACTCTAATGTCTCTGTAACTTTTGGAGCCCTTTGGCCAGGACACTCTAGGAGTAAAAAAACAGGTCATACATTTGACTTTCATGGTTCAATAATAAAAAAGGAAAAATCAAATGTTAAGAAACAAAATATTCAGTCCCATTGGTGAATTTCTCAGTTAGAATAAACTAAAACCTTTTTTTAGCATTAAATAACATCTATTGCACACAATTTGTTCTTAAGTTATATTTATAAAATGAATTGACTTTTACAATTTTTGCAAAACTGCAGCCCCTCAGTAGAGTATTAGCTCTGCTGAGGTAGCAATACCTCATACAACATAGGAGTTCTGTTATGAACTCCTCTTTTAAGAAGACTGAATTTGGAGAAACAAAGTCATTAGCTGATTGTTAATTGTAAATCTCTAACCCTTATTTAGCTAAGAGTTGCTGTTTCCTTAATTATAGATCTCTTGTGTTACAACAAACACAGCAGCTGGCTTGATCAGAGCGGGGTTGTTTTCACGCTTTCCGAGTTCTGCTGGCTGTTTATTAATGCAAACAACACAGAAGATGTTATAGATTTATTCAAAATCTCGGGGTTACTCTGAAGATCCCGCTGAACAGAAAAGCAGAGTGAAAACAACAACTCCGTACTCCACTGATACACATACAAGAGAAATGAATAATACAAGATTGGCCTTTCCTTTTAGATAGCACTAGAGTTCATAAAGTGCATATTTTAAAACTCCTAATTAACGTTTTATAAAGCTACGCTGGATCCTAGGGATGCTGTTTATGAATAAGTTTTGCTGAGATTCAACTTGCATTGATAATTAGAGGAGACAGTAAGACTTTGTTGTCTGCATGATTTTAGATATTAGCAAATTAGTCACGTGACGCAGAAAGGCTTGGTAAGAACATGTTAATGTGGGGTAAGTGGGCTTTTGTTCAGGGTAAAAAAAATGTCTTAGGGTAATTTTTTCTGGTGACGCATAAAATCACCTTTTGAGTGCATAAAAGGATGTCAGCTGACCTTTTTTTCTGATGTAGAATGAGGCAAAATCATAGTCAGATTAAAACCCACCTTCTTTTTTTGCTTTTTTTTTCTTGTGTTGAGTTTTTACATGAGAAAAACAACAACAAATTAAACACAAAAAACAGCCCATTCTTGATTGGCTTAACAAAACAGTGTCTTTTTTTTTTTATTAGACCCTTCTTTAGCCTCCAATAACGCTAAATTAATAGTTGATAAGATTTACTAGAAGAATCCACCAGCACATGTGCAGCAGTGAAAAAGAAACTAGGGCACCTCAATATTAACTTTGTTATTAAGAAATGCTCACAAATGCCTAATCTTATTTAACTTATCTTTGAGAATAAAGGGATTTAATTGCATAGAAAACTACTTATTTCTCTTTATAAATAAAATATATCACTAAGAATCTTTTGTGCCGTTCTTCCATCCCTCCCTTCCAGCTTTGAGATGTTTGAGGGGTTTTCCTGCATTCAAATCCTCATCTCACCAAAGATCTAGTTCTTATTTTATTTTATTCTTACTTTTGGGATTTAATGTTTTGTTTTGGGTCAGTTTTCTGTATATGGGTCCAGCCACCTATAACGTAATCATGGATGGTCTTCCATATTTCCAATGCACCTTCTGATACATGGTAGACTTCATGGTGGATTCATTGATTATGAGCTCATCCAGTCCTGCTGCAGACTATGGATCTAATGATGACATTTTTGAGTTTTTTAATAGGGCTGAAACAATCAATCAGATGAATTGTGATTAATCGATTAATGAATTAATCGTCAACTAATTTGGTAATCGATTAATCGTTAACTGGAGACTCTAACACATGCCTTGAGCTGACTGAGCAACCCACTTAGAGTAGTTATAATATACAAAAAAAAAAAAATATATATATATATATATATATACATATTAATATATATATAATTATATATATATATATAATGACATTACATATATATATATACATTTTGCATTTCAGATAAAAAAAAAATGTTTTTTTTCATCTGTCAATATGCTCTATCCAGAACTCCACAAGTGGCAAAGTTAGTTTCATCTGGTTTAATTTCATAAAAAATCTTCTTTAAGGAACCTTTGCTATCTGATTATTAATCAATTAATTGGAAAAATGCTCAACAGATTAATCGATTTGCTAAATAGCCATTAGTTGCAGCCCTAGTTTGTAAGACTTCTTCTAACATGATGCAATCTGCTTTTCGAGTTAACCATCTCAAAGGGCCACAGTTAGGTGCACTGGCAGTTCTACTGGTGAGGATTTTTTCAGAGTAGATGGGCTGATTTAGAAATCCTTTGACATATCTTTTAATTTTTTTATTGTACTCATAATCTACAGTATCCTTTATGAAAACCTCAGTCTGGGTAATTATATTATACGCTTCAAAATGTTGTCTTGAAATATGATTCAAAAGGAGCTTAGCTTCTCAAAACTCGTACAAAAATGCTTCCTCTGTAACAACCCCACCTGCCCATGCGTCTCTTTAACAACGCTTTAGGGAGATAATTCACTAACTTTGTCCTCTTTGTTTTGTCTGTTTTCCCTCCATCAGAGATTGATGCAGTACCTCGCCTCCAGAAACACGCTCTTCAACCTCAACAACTTTCTAGATAAAGCTGCTCTGCAAGGTGATTTAATGCTGCTTGACTGTCTGTAGACTCAGCAGTGCTGTACGTCCGACAGAAACGGCTTTCTGTCTGAATCTCCCTGGCTCTGTTACACCATCAATAAGCCAATGTTCAAAGCTAACTTTAAACAAAATAGTTTTTCTTTTTCTTTTTTAAGAAAAAAAATCCAATATTTGATACAAGTTGCTGAATGTTGCTGAAAACTGGAACAAAGCTCAGAGTGTGATTATATATTGAGAAGGCAAAGTAAGTCATTAAAATTGAAGCAGTAGAGAGCAGGAGCTTGTTTAGCATACACTGCAAAACCAATCCAGAAATAAGTCAACATTTCTTAAATTAAGTGCATTTACCCTTCATTTAGACATATACTGAGACTTAACCTTATTTATGCCTTGGCATTACTCCTTTAGTGATATTCTGGTTCCTTTAGTGTATAGAGCACAAAGGGCAGAGTTAAGGCAAGATGCCATTAAAGATAAAAACAAAACAAAAAAAAAGACAATATAATAAGAGTCTATGTAGTACAAGAGAGCATAAAAAAGTTGTATTGTCCTGGAAAATGCTTTAGATATAAAATATCTGCACTGTGGAGAGCTAAGGAAAGTGGTTGACTTGGATTATTGCACTTGTGCTAATAAATTAAACATAAATAAATACAAAATAACACAGGCCACACAGTAGTTGGCCTGTGTTATTGCACAGTGAGAGAGAAGAACATGAGTGACAATAGATAATGTTTTGCAAAAGATGTCCAAGGTAGGGGGATTTGTGTAGGTAGATAAGAGGATTTGCCAATTGAATTTAAGTTGAAGTATATTCACTCTTAAAATAAGATAATTAGAAAATATGCACTTGAAATAAGATAATGCAAATGTCTTTTCTTATTTTAAATGTAAATAGTTTTGTTCCATTGGCAAAGTGTCTCACTTACCTCCTCAATTGAAGAACAAATGCTCTTATTTTAAGAAAAAATTACTTATCTAGGTTTGGATTTTTTCCAGTGTATACCAAGAAGGGAAGCAAGGAATAACATCTAGATAAAATAAAGAATTATGGGATGCATATGAGATGTGATCAGTCTCTTCCTTTCTCTTCTCCAGGGTATAACATGTCAACTTTCATCAGACGCTACAGTCGATATCTGAATGAAAAAGCCATGTCCTACAGACTAGCAGCAGTGGACTTCACCAAGATGAAGAGAGGGTACACATGAAGGAATGACACACAGAACATATTAAGGTTACTCTTTTGCACACCGTTTTTATGTCTGTTTCAGGGCTGACGGTGTGATGCGAACCATGAACACAGAGAAGCTCATCAAGACTTTGCCCATCATACAGAACCAGCTGGATGCACTGCTAGATTTTCAGGTAAGTACATCAATTGTGGGCAGTGCCTTGAAAAAGGCTCTTAATCCTTTTTTAGGTCTCACAACCTTAAACTTGAAGTGTATATGCAGTTGTATTTAGCTCTTTGCTGTTTGTAAAATAGCTCAAGCCCAGTTAGAATAGATGAACAGAGATTTTCAAGTCTTGCCACAGAATATTACCAGGATTTGGGCCATTCTACCGCATGATTTATTTTATAATGCTTTTTAAGCCGTCAGTCTGTTCACCCTCAATCACTGTTTGAAACTTCAATAGTAACCTTCCAACTCACAGGGCGACATGAAAAAAGGTTCCTTGTTTTGTCCTTTTTTTATGTGAGGATCCCTGACTAAAATACATTGAGGTCCCTTAACCTGCACCAATTATTTGCAGCGCTATGGTGGTTTTTCTTATTTATTTTTTCATTGGCATTATGCTGGAATATTAGCCTTCGTCCCAGTATCAGTGCACTGCAGTTCTGTCCCGTATTAAGTAATATCCCCCATGTCATCCTATAGAGCAGGGGTGTCAAACTGGTTCCAGAAAGGGCCGTGTGGCTGCAGGTTTTCTTTCCAGCCAAGCAATAGCACACCAGACTCCAGTCATCTCATCAAGGGAGTCCAATCTGAATATGATGACTTGATCAGATGAATAGAGTCTGGTGTGCTATTGTTTGGTTGGAAAGAAGACCTGCAGCCACACGGCCCTTTCTGGAACCAGTTTGACACCTGTGCTGTAGAGGAACTCTTCAGGATGATGTGCAGTTAAGGTTTTCTGCCTGGTGGGGTATTTTTTAAGTCCAGTTTTGGTTTCTTCTCACCAGAGTGTTTGAGAAAATCAACTTTACATGATATTAAACAAGAATTTAAATGCTTCAAAATTAGTGTTGTGCCGATACCGGGCAGGGCCCTAATACTGCACTGAAATGGTGGTATCGGTATTAGAGAGTACCGACAAATTGGGCTCCGATACCATTTTGAGAGCTATTGTCACCCATTCCAAGTAGGCAATAAAAGGTTCTACTGGATTCACTTTGTATTAGTCTTTTTCCTGCTTCACAGAGGTATGCAGCAGATTGACAAAGCCATGATGGCAATTATTTTACATCAAAAGTCACCTAAAAAGAATATGTTGTTACCATGAAGTTAACCTCTGCCTGCAGCACCACAGAAGCTAATTACGGTTAGCACAGGGTTAAATAACGGTTATTTTTTTACTGAACAACGAAACGACATCATGGAGTTCTCCAACTTCCCCGAATCTCATCTGGCCTGCTTCAGCCACTTTGAAGGCAGCTCAGGATCCGAATGAATCTTAAATAAGTCAACACCATCCTTATGGGGGCTAAAGCAAAAAGCTGCAACACAACATGAAAGCATAGCTGTATCTGAATCAATGGAAACTTTGGCAGATGTCCATAACTAAACACTGTTCCAGCTCTCAGTTGTTCTCCAGCATACGTCAGCCTCCCTCAGTCACTAAGCGGCACTAGAGTCACACACAATTTTTTTTTTAATTAAAAACGATTCTATGCCGGCAGCCTTGATCATCGATATTAACATTTTGGTCTAAAAAAATTCTAGAAAATGTCTATTGTATCATCAACACTTAGCTTATTCTCCTCCATTATTTTACTGCAAAGGATCATGGGATATACAGTGTTGTATAGCGATAACCTGACTTCAGTGCCTTAATAAGTCTGTTGATAACTTAAAAATAGAACTCACTTAATTGTTGTTAAATCTGACATTGATGTATTGGTAGGTTTGCAAATATACAGCACACCATTACTATTTCAGTGGATTGAAACTAACCTAACTCAGTTTTAAACTTCTCCACAACGTCACTTGTCTGATGTGTCCCTGCTGGTTAATTAAGCTGTTTGTTCACTAAATCCTTTTATCTCAGTGTAAAAGCAGATGAATACAAATACCACCCTTCTTAGTTTTTCCTTGTCCTCCTTAAAACAAAATAAAGTCTGTCTTGTTCAATGAGATTAAATCGCATGAAGTGATGTGAAAAGCTCAAACTTGTGTTGATTTTTCCTTCCAAACAGCCAAACTCCAACGAGCTGACCAATGGAGTGATCAACACAGCATTCATGCTGTTGTTTAAAGACTCCATACGGCTGTTTGCTGCTTATAACGAGGGTGTCATCAACATGTTGGGTGAGTGGAAATAGCATGGGCACGCCGCCCTCGTGCATCACGCACTGCGCCTGAGGCGTCTGGGTCTTCTTCTAGCAAAGCAGACAAAGATGAGTCCTAGTTGTTTGGGTAAATAAAAAATAAAAAATCTATTCAATTCAATTCAGTTTATTTATATAGCGCCAAATTCACAACACAAGTCATCTTAAGGCACTTTACAGTTCAACCAGATCATACAGTCAAACTGATTCAAAGTTTTCTATCTAAGGAAAACCAGTTGATTGCATTGACTCATTGACTCAAATGCAATCCCTCACACTAAGCATGCTTGTAGCGACAGTGGAGAGGAAAAACTCCCTTTTAACAGGAAGAAACCTCCAGCAGAACCAGGCTCAAAACGGGTCAGAGAGGAGAGTTTCCAAGCTGTCCTGCTGTCTGTTTTCAAATGTTTTCAAATTCATTGCCTAAATCTGCAATGAATTTGTCATTAATTGACAGTGGAGACATACCCAAGCATGGCCGTGGGAAGTGAGGGTCGTGCAGCACCCCCTAGTGGCAAGAGGGAGATAAAAAACATTTTTTTTAAATACTTTGCACAATTTATCAAATTTCTTATGATTATTTTGGGAAATTACTTTTTTATTCTACTATTTTACGTGTATTTGTATTTAGATTTAATTACTCTGAGTCCTAATTACACTGTCATGGCAACGTCAAGCAAGCTACGGCGTGGTATGCCGCCCACGGCAGCAGACTAGTAAATTACACAGTCTAATGACAGAAACGAGGAGGAAATATAGCACAGAATAACATTTCGGATTTGTCAGCTCATGAAAGACTTTATCTCCACTACCTTAGAGCGCACCTTAATATTTGGACAGTTGTAACCAGGCAGGGCACCCTGCCTGTAGCTCAAAGTAACAGCATGGTGCTGCCGCACTCTTTCTTCTATTCGTCCGGTCTAACCTAGCCATAGTATTTTAGAGAGCTATTTTGATCTTGGATTATTTGTGTAATGGAGGTGGAGAACTGTTCAATAACATTTAAATAATATAATTATTTCCTTGTGGTTTCTGTAAAAGGATTCTGGAGCTAATAGAGTCATGTGTGACATAAACACAGTGACTCAGGTTAATACCAGCTGACCAAATCTATAGTGTTATTGTCAAGTTTAATTAATAGCGCATATATTCACCTCAAAATGGATGATGTCTGCGTGTTACAGACCCTGGTTGCGTGCATTAAAGTGTAATTGACAATAAAGTAGTGAATCTCAATCTATTTACTTATTTATTTTTATTGTATTTTAATTAGGCTTATTAGCCTCGTGAGACCATCCTGATCTTGCGAGCTTTCAAGGTTTCACCCGCAGATCAGTCTGGAGACTCTCCGTTGAAGAAAATTTGGAGCCGTTCACCAAACGAACGTCCAATCAGCGTTGGCTTTGAGGCGGGTTGAGGTGTGACGCAACGAGAAGCGCGACAGTTCAGTCTAAAGAACATGGCGGCTGCAGCCGATGAAACTAGCGTAAGCGTGGCTATCGAGCAAGGTTTATCGGAATTACAGAGTATTTCTCCACTGAAAGAAGAGCAAAACACTGCTCTGGAGGCTTTTCTCAGAGGAAAAGATGTTTTTGCTCTTTTCCCGACTGGTTTCGACAAGAGAAGCCTGGCTTGTTGTGTTTTCGTCGTCGCTCTGTTAGTACGTCATATGCTTCGTTGATCTGATTGGATTAAATGGCCCGTCTATCACCAACATAGGCCAATCAGCTAACCAGTATTTTCGCCCCTTCCCAAAATTACTTCAACGGAAGGTTTCTAGATGGATATGCGGAGCAAATCCAGCAAATCCATCTGGCGGAGTCAGGTTATAGGCTTATAGGTCTTTTGTCCAAATAAAGATCAAAAAAGATTCACAGCACTCCCTGTTCAAAAGTACTTCCAGCGGCCCTGTACCCACAACATTTAGAAGTTCTCATTGCAACAATAGGGATATTGACTCGAAGGGACTGAGTATCAATATACACCACATTTTTCCTATTTCTTTTTGTGCAAATGGTTTAAAAACCATGAATACTTTTCCTTTAACTTCACAGTTACTGTTACTGTTAAAAACCGACAGACCATTTCAAAAGAATGTATTGTAGCTTGTTTTGTTTTTTTCTTCCGACAGAGAAATACTTTGACATGAAGAAGAATCAGTGCAAAGAAGCGTTGGAGATCTACAAGACCTTCCTGAACAGAATGACTAAACTATCTGAGTTTCTCAAAGTGGCAGAGGTATTGTTTGTTTACTCCGTTGCCTGCTAACCTGGAGACGATGGGAATATCGGGTTGGAGCAAACCTCAGCAGCCTCCACTAATCTGGACTTGCATAAATCCATGACTAAAAATGAATTACTGTATTCACACAAACACAGAAACTTCAAACTGTTGAGATTTGCTCCAGATTTCTGTCACCCACAAGATTCTGACCTGCGGTCGATATCTACCCAACCGGACTGCAGATCAGCATCTTAGGGGCTCCTCTTACTCATTTTGTTTCAAATCTCTTTTTGTATCTGGAAATTCTCCTGTTTCTCACAGTTTCTCCGTTGCCCCTGAGATTTCTACCAGACAGCCATTATTGATTCAGTCTTAGTCTCTCAGAGGGCTTTCATGTACAGCCTTCCAACTGAGGGACCTCTCGTGTGCTGCCTGCTCACATGCCTGCACCGCATGCCCAAGCAAGCTCTTTTCTATCACTATCTCTGTCCCTTATTCCTCCTACTAGTTAAAAAAAAAGATATATAATTTGTATTTGATGGCTTTTATCCAGTGAGCAGCTTCTGCCAGACTTCACAGTGAATATAAATAGTTTTTTCCTCTGCAGACTGCGTAGCACTTCGCCATGCGTCATCTTCAAAGGCTTTCGCACTGCTTGATTTCGTTCCCATTTGGAAGAAGGTTTGGGGTGCAGCCGCTTGATCCACAGTAAAAAGAAAGAAAGAAAACAAGCGAACTAACGTTGACTTTAAGGACCCATTCATTTTATCTGTCTAACAAATATGTTTGTCTGTTTTGTGTGTCATCTGTGTCCCTCCCCTCCTCCTTCTGTTCAAAGTCAACATTAGTTGAGTGTCTTCCTTTTTGGATGTTTTGACCTGTTGTCCTCCCTCTCACTCTCCACCTCGCCCGTTCAGTCAGTCGATCTGCTCCGCATTCATTTCCAACCAGTCTCCAGATTTCAGTGTGTGTGTGCGTGCACATGTACTCTGTATATATGTAAACTATATGTATATATAGGTGTTTGTATGTGCGTGCATGTGCCCTCCTCCCCTCCTCCTCTGTTGTCTTCTGTTTGTTTTCTTTTCCAGCCACTGCATGAAGTAATGGATGCTTGGGTTTGATTCTTCTTTCTCCCTCCTCCTCCTCCTCTTCCTCCTTCACGTGCCTCTTTCCCTTTTCGTTTTTCCAACTCTGTGGTCTGTTGGGTTTCTTTTTTTTGGTTTATTTCTTGTTTCAGTACAACATTTGGTTTATTTTCATTTTGCCTCCCTCCTCCCTCCCCTTTCCCCTCCCTTTTTTGTGACACAGCGAGTTGGGATAGATCAGGGCGACAGCCCCGATCTCACACAGGTCAGTCTACATCTAATCTCAATCAGTCAATCAACCAGCCAGTCAACTAGTTTATGAATCCGTCCAGTCAGTCTCATAATGCTTCATTCTTTAAGCTCACGTTCCCTACTCACCCTACAGACCTCCCCACACTGCAGCTGCCCCGTCTTCTTCCTCTCTTCTTCACTCTCCCTGAATTCTTTGTTTTGCTTCTCTTTCTGTTTGAGTCTAGAATAGAGAGGAAACAATAAACAGAAACCTGAAAAATGGGTTTGAAGCAATATTTTATTTCTGCAATTTTTATCTGAGGGATTTCATGCCTTTTTTTATCTGAATCATTGCAGAACAAATTTTGCTCAAAGGTAAGGTTCTTGCTAAAGAATTTAATCAGCTGGGTAACAACTTTTTTCTTTTTCTTAGCGTTGTTTGAAGATTTACTTTAGACGGACATAACAGGAATGTAGAATGCCTCACAGAGGCGTTGGGACTTCTTGAACAGATTGACATCTTATCATGTTAAAACAGCAAACTTTGATGCATTTCATTGTGATCTTATGTGACAAACCAACACAAAGCAAAAACTATATATATACACTATATTGCCAAAAGTATTTGCTCACCTGCCTTGACTCACATATGAGCTTAAGTGACATCCCGTTCCTAATCCATAGGGTTCAATATGACGTCGGTCCACCCTTTGCAGCTAGAACAGCTTCAACTCTTCTGGGAAGGCTGTCCACAAGGTTTAGGAGTGTGTTTATGGGAATTTTTGACCATTCTTCCAGAAGCGCATTTGTGAGGTTGCACACTGATGTTGGACGAGAAGGCCTGGCTCTCAGTCTCCGCTCTAATTCATCCCAAAGGTGTTCTATCGGGTTGAGGTCAGGACTCTGTGCAGGCCAGTCAAGTTCATCCACACCAGACTCTGTCATCCATGTCTTTATGGACCTTGCTTTGTGCACTGGTGCACAGTCATGTTGGAAGAGGAAGGGGCCAGCTCCAAACTGTTCCCACAAAGTTGGGAGCATGGAATTGTCCAAAATGTCTTGGGATGCTGAAGCATTCAGAGTTCCTTTCACTGGAACTAAGGGGCCAAGCCCAGCTCCTGAAAAACAACCCCACACCATAATCCCCCCTCCAACAAACTTTACACTTGGCACAATGCAGTCAGACAAGTACCGTTCTCCTGGCAACCGCCAAACCCAGACCCGTCCATCAGATTGCCAGATGGAGAAGCGCGATTCGTCACTCCAGAGAACGCGTCTCCACTGCTCTAGAGTCCAGTGGCGGCGTGCTTTACACCACCGCATCCGACGCTTTGCATTGCACTTGGTGATGTATGGCTTGGATGCAGCTGCTCGACCATGGAAACCCATTCCATGAAGCTCTCTGCGCACTGTTCTTGAGCTAATCTGAAGGCCACATGAAGTTTGGAGGTCTGTAGTGATTGACTCTGCAGAAAGTTGGCGACCTCTTCGCACTATGCGCGTCAGCATCCGCTGACCCCGCTCCGTCAGTTTACGTGGCCTACCACTTCGTGGCTGAGTTGCTGTCGTTCCCAAACACTTCCATTTTCTTATAATACAGCTGACAGTTGACTGTGGAATATTTAGGAGCGAGGAAATTTCACGACTGGATTTGTTGCACAGGTGGCATCCTATCACAGTTCCACGCTGGAATTCACTGAGCTCCTGAGAGCGACCCATTCTTTCACAAATGTTTGTAAAAACAGTCTGCATGCCTAGGTGCTTGAATTTATACACCTGTGGCCATGGAAGTGATTGGAACACCTGATTCCAATAATTTGGATGGGTGAGCAAATACTTTTGGCAATATAGTGTATATGGTGGTGTTTAAACAAAAAAACCTAAAGAAGGGAGTAACGAATCAGGTCAGAGTTAAGGTTGTTAAGAAGTTTAAAGCAGAGATACTAACCATCTAATAGATCTACACTCAATTTATTTTCTTTAAGGTCCTATATATCATGCTTTCTTTTAAGTTAACTGCAGACAAATATGATGAAATATGTCCTTTTTGTATTCCACTTTTTATGAAGTAGTTGTTTTCTTCAAACTCAAAAGAATGACACTTGCCTCATTATCTACCTCTCCCTGTGTGTAATGTTGCCCTAGAGCTGCAGCAGCACTGTTATAGTAAAGTTTCAGAACAGACGACCCAGAATTCTGGCAGGACAGACCGTGGAATAATTTAAATCGTTTATTTAAACAAGTGGATCCGTGGTAACAGCGGCTACGGCCTCTATAACAGCAATGTCTATGGGAGAGAAACACAGGTTAGTGACCATAATGTGACATAGGATGATTATGAACATGTGAGTCACTAACCTTGTTTGACAGTTCAGTCCGTGCCCAGAAAAAGAGGATGATTCCAGGCGGTCGGCTGACAAGACGCAGCGGTCTCTGCCAGAGAGTTCCAAACACGGAAGCCTGGAAGGCTGCAGAGCTGACAAGAGATCAGATCCGAGCAGACAAAGGAAGGCAGGTAATCCACAGGGCAAAGTCAAGAGGCAGATCCAGGTTCAGTCCAAAGAAGAATCCAACAGGAATCTGAAGACGGGTCAGGCAAACAGATCAGACAGGCTCGAAAGTCCGAATACAGAAACTAAAAGTAACGCTCAAAACCTCTCTACACCACAGGCTCAAGAATAATCTGGCACTGATGGCTGGGATCAAGTTTAAACAGTTCGAGTTTAGACAGAAGCAGGGTAGGTTGGATCAGATGATCAGACAAGGAGAAGTTACTGCTTAGTGAGCAACATTCATGAGGATTACTCAGACATGCATAAATCAAGCAGGAAAAAAAACACTTTGGGGATGGTTTTAATGAGGAATAACAAAACAAGATCATTTGAAAATCATTAAAAGTTCAAAGAAGTTATTTTACATGATAGATGCCCTTTTCGATAAAGAAGGTATGTCACATGTGGGAATCTTCTAGGTTCTCCACTTCATTTAACAGGTTCTTGACAAGAAAACGATCAGGAATATGAAACCCCATTTTTTTTTTCAAAGTGTAGATGTGTAAGAAGATGTTCTGCTAAGATGAAACCCAAGCTAAACTTTTTGGTTTACAAGAAATAATATGTGGAGGAAAACTACCACTGTACGTCCCCCTGAACAAACCGACCACCGCGAAGAGGTTGTTGTGCATCGATTGAACAATTTATTAGGTTAAAATACTGGAAATCCTGAAGAAAAGCTGTTAGAGGTTGCAAGACAGTTGAGATTGGAGCAGAAGGTCCCCTTCCAACAAAATAAGATGCTAAGCAGTCTCCCAATGGAGCGGCTAATATCATATACTGTCAGTCCAGAATTACATTTCATATGTAGAAAGACTTTAGAATTGATGTTTACAAATGGTCTCTCTAGCCAGTCTGAATTGGCAGGAAAGATATTGTAAATATAATTTCCCAAATTTTGGTTGGAAAAAGAAAAAAACATACATATGCAAACTCCAAATCCTTTGTGTTTGTCTGTTACATAGAATACCAATGGAAAGTGGTTGAAGTTTGTGGTATTTAAGCATAACAAAGTTGAAAAAGCAGGAATATTTCTCAAGAAGTCCTTAACATTTTTTAATTAGACCTTTTTTATGTAAAAAATAAATAAACCAAAGACCTCTGTTTACAGAAAGCTCACGATACAAGCAAGTTAACTGTATTCAACCTTTTTTTCCCCAATAAAAGCAACAATCAGAACATTTTGTTCCCAAAAAATAATTCTGTCCCTTTTCCTAAGCTGTGGGGAGAGCAGCGAATGGTTTTTGATTAATTAGGTTTCTGCAAATATGACTTGGATAGGAGCACACAATGCCATCATAAGTACTGCATAACCCATGGAGGACATTTATACTGTTTCCCCTCTACAGCGGATGCGAATGTGATTGTGGTTGATTATATTTGGACAAAAGCAAGTAAATTAACTGAAAGGGGTCAATGTACAAACTAATGACTTGCAGTGCTTATGAAGACCTTATATGCCCTTATTCAACAACATAGTGGGCTATGCCGTTTACTGAGCTGTAGTTATGTCTGTTTTGTTTTTAAACTTTTAGCATATTCTAGATTTCTCTGACGAAGGATATGCAGAATTCGCATTTTACTCTCTTTCCCCCTTTGAATTAAGTATATGAGAAGACTTTTCTTTGCCTGTTGTGTCTGCACTGTGTTTCTCTGATGCGGAAATGTAAAGCTCTGGGTGAAAGCTACAGTATCACATGTGTCCCAAATAAACCCATTCATCACCTTATTTGCTTTCCGGTGAAGCAGTTTCCAGCTGCTAAAGGTGTATACCTGGTTTTTCAACAGATCTTTACATTTGATGAGTTAACTTTCTTGGTTTCCAGTAATATATCTTTGCTCTGATTGTTTGTTTAATTGGTAACAAGTCTCAGAATCTAATTGGGAAATCATTCATAAGGCAATGACCTGGAAGTGGAATCCATGAGTTAACTCTTTTGGGTGGTGATTTGCTTTAGATGTACACTGCTGTAAGTATGTGCGTGCTTACAAGGGCGTATTTGGACTGCTGGCCTCTGCATGGGCTCATTAGATGGTTCAGAGATTAGTCTGTTGAGTTTCTTCTCTGAAACCCTACAGCAGTGACGCTCTTCTCTGTCCTGGTCTGTCAGTTCTGCTGCAGACTCGCTTGCATGATCCAACAGCCAATGTTTGCATGTCGGTCAACCAAACCTGATGAAACAAACTGCAAAAGCAGAACAAACATGCTGCCGTAGATTAAAATGTTTAATCTGAGATTGGTTTCTTAGTGTCGCTGCTGCTTTTTATGTCTATGTGAGATACATCTGAAGAGGCGGCGGGGGGTAAAAGAGAGCTTTTTACCTCATTTTGTCTTCCTGACTTAGATTCTAATGGTTTCTCTTCGATTTCATATATCACTCGCTCCCTTCTCAGGCTCCCAGCTCCCTCCTGGAGGCTTTGGAGCAGCATCTTGCTTCCCTGGAAGGCAGGAAGCTCAAAGACCTGTCTACTGCCAGCAGGTATGATCAAATGGATTATAAATCAACCAACTGTAACAATCACTTTGTTTTTGTCTATCTTTAAATATATAATTTATTATACTACTGCCGTCTTAAACTTACTATCCCCACTAATACTATAAGTATCCTGTCAGGCTAATATTGCTGCCATCAACAGGATTTCTGTAACTATCCCTGCAACAAAAACCTATCAGGAGCAAACAGCTTCATTCAGAGAGTTTTATATGCTAAAGGAAAACAAACTTTCCTAACCAACCTAAAAAAAATTATCAATTGGAATTTATTAAATCAGAAATATATTGGATTTAACCAAATTCGTTTGAAAGCTTATTTCAGTTCCACTGGGCGTGCCCAGGTTTGATAAATTATTAATAAGTGAATAAATAGCTTTATTATAATTCATGCAGGGAAATATTACAGATTATTTGGACACTGCAATTTAAATAGAACAGGAAAGGAAAAAGAGAAATAAGGAGAAAAGATTCAAGAAAGAGGAGATAAAAAAAAAAACTTCAGTCTGCCTCATCACCTGCAAAGAGATGTAAAAGAACAGCAAAACCAATGGACATGTTACAAGATATACAATAAAGTAACACCTTGATACCATCGCTGAAGTATAAGTAGTATTATTTAATCTATTTAAAAGATTTAAAGGTATAGTGAAGAATGTTTTTTCGGGTGTATCATCTAAATAAGTGGTTCTGCTAATTGTCAATCATTCTGGTGATGAGTTTATGTAGTGCCGTCCTACGTGCTCGTCCCCATTTTCACTTACCAGTGGTGAGTCTGACATAGTGGAAAAATTGCAAATCTTCTTTTAGAAAGTAAGCTTGTATGAGTGATGCAAACAGAAACTTTAAACAGAGCGTGCACAAGGAGAAATGGGCTTGTGCACGCTCTCGCACGCGCTTAATAGGCATTCACTCTCAGGAGCAGGTACAAGGTTGTGCATGTGCATTTTTTTTTAAGTGGAGAGGGCTGGTTTATTCAAAACTTCAGGAAAATCCTCCACTATACCTTTAGAATAAGCCCCACACCCCAAGGGTGGCTCTAGATGACATTTAGTAGAGGGGGGCAGTTTTTATTTAATGGTTACAAAGACAAAAGAATAACAAGCTGAAAAAAAGCAAACAAACAAGGCAAGAGTGCATTATTTAATATATTCAGTCTACAACAAAGCCACAGTTACATCTTGCTCTAACATAAAAACTGTTATCTGAACTGAACTTAATACCACATAAGCTTCAAGCCAACTGCAGTTTTAAAAATAAATGTTAACATAGACTGAAAAGGAAAATATGAAATTGGTCCAAGGGTTAGTTATGGTCTTCTCTGTCAGCATAAAATTATCTTAAGAAATTGATCAAGTATTACGTTGCAAAAACTAGTCTACAAAAAACATTTCTTCCACCAGTGTATTTACCCTTAATTTGAGCAGGTAGAATGAGTATTTGTGCTCTAAAAAAATAAGATAATTACATAATTAGAAATCATTAACTTATTTGACATACCGGTAGGTTAATTGAGTTTTTTTTTTCTTATTATTTTAAAAGTAAATCATCTTTTTTTCATTAGCAAACTGCTTACCTTAATGCACAAGGGCAAAATACATTTATTTCAGTTCACCTACCGTATTTTCACGACCATAAGGCGCACCGTACTAAAAGGCGCACTCTCAGTTATGTGTCCCATTTCTGTATTTAACACACACATAAGGCGCACCGGACTATAGGGCGCGTTTTTTATATACAGGTACATGTCCTCTACTACCTTTAAATAGCTCTACTGCGTATTTAAAAATACAGCGGGGGCAAAACTGAGTATGACTGTAATTTATTCATGTATTTATTAAAAAGTATTAATCAAACCTGGCAGCTGGCCGTGAGACAGACACATCGCAGATGACACAGCGCTGTGATCACTCCTAAATTAACTTAAAATCCTGAAACCTGCCGACGGAATATGTTCGCTTTTATGGGTGCCTGCAGTTTAAATTATTTAGATGAAAAACACCTGCCAGCAGCCGCGGTGAACCTGGAGGCTACCCAGCCTAGAGGCTGCTGATGAAAGGATTTCTCCTGTCGGTGCACCGCTGGTATGTGGGGGTCTGAGCGCCTCCGACAGAAATAGATAATCTGGATGAACTGACTGCAATTAAGTTTTCAGGTGGACTTTCTCACTTAAAAACATATTAAAACTACTTTATTCCCACTGATCACAGCAAATATAGCTGCAAGATTTAGATTATTTAGATGAAAAAACACCTGCCAGCCACCGCGGTGAAGAGGAGGAGACCCGCCCAGAGGCTGCTGTTGAATTAAGTTTTCAGGTAGAAAAATAGAGCGGGAGCAAAACTGAGTATGATTGTGCTTTATTCATGTATTTATTACAAAGTATTAATCGAACCCATCAAAGTCATCATCCTCTGTTTCTGAATTAAACAGCTGCGCTAAATCAGACATGCCAATTTCCCCTTCTTCGCTGTCAGAGTCACTTTCCGTGCAGCGCGGCTCCTCAGAAATAATGCCGGCTTTTGCAAAAGCTTGAACAACAGAGCCAGCAGACACGTTAGTCCAAGCATCTACAATCCATCCACAAACGGTGGCGTAACTCACCCGGCGCTGCCTTCCACTTATCGTGAAACTGTGGTCTCCGTCTGTCATCCATCGCTCCCACGCTGCTCGCAGCCTTACTTTGAACGGCCGGTTCACACCGATGTCGAGCGGTTGAAGCTCCTTTGTCAGACCCCCGGGATAACGGCGAGCACAGCGTTCATTTGATTCACCTTTTTTTCACATCGGCTGTGAGATGGGCACGCAGCGATGGTGATGCGTGGAAAAAACCACCTGGTCTCCTCACATAGGCTACACCTCCCTCAGCTACGCTTTCATCATCTCCTCATCCATCCAGCCTTTTCCATTTGCGTTAATATCATATGTCATCAGAGCGCTGTGTCTGTCTCGCTGTCAGCTCCCAGATCAGCTTCTCTGATTGGTTGATGCGGCGCGTCCAGCAGCAAAACTTAAATTTTTCCATCTCGAGCAGCAGCAGCGCGTTGGCAGATGCTTAAACGCTCCTGCTGCTCAAAACGCGCTGCAGGACCTTTTGCTGCACCTATACGCGCGTCAACCATTGACTTTGCATGTAAACACGCTGCTTCTGCTGCACCTGCTGGGTCCGGTTCACACCGATGTCGAGCGGTTGAACAGCGAGCACAGCCTTAATTTGTTTCCCCATGTTTTTCACATCAGCTGTAAGATGGGCACGCATGGAGTTACATATTAACAGCGATGGTGATGAGTGGAAAAAAAAACACCTGGTCTCCTTACATTCAGCCACTCTTTCATCATCTCCTCAATGAGGTGGTCTCAAAAGTCGCAGTTACAACACACATAGGGCGCACCGCACCAAAGGGCGCACCGCACATTTTTTGGGGAAAAAAAGACGTTTAAGTGCGCCTTATAGTCGTGAAAATACGGTACTTATATATTTAAATTGGTGCAGTGTTGTTTTTAGTACAAAAGCCATAACAGGGGCCAGGACCAATTCTACAAAGACCCCTGTCTAGAATCACCCATGACCACAAACTGAATTTCAGTTAAATAAAATAAAGTCAGTGATATCTATTATTTTGGAAAGGGATAAGAGACTTAAGGATCCAAATGAACCAGAGTGAGCAGATACACATGGAAGACCTTAGCCAATAACCTGAGGAGAAATATAAACTTTTAAAGACGTCATGCACCTGAAAACCGAATTCACAAACCACCTAGTCTTTGATTTTCAGATTTCTGCATTTAATGGAGAAGTTTATGTGAGAAAAGTGGTCATCTGAGATATATCTCTTAAAAGAAAATAAAGAAAAGTAAAAGAAGAAGCAATAAAAAAAAAACAATTAAGTATGTTTTAATGACACTTTGTTAAAAAAAACAGACCATATATATATATATATATATATATATATATATATATATATATATATATATATATATATATATATATATATATATATATATATATATATATATATATATATATATATATATATATATATATATATATATAGCTTAGAAAGTAATGGGAAATCCTTTATAGGCTTTAGAGCAATTCAATCAATCAATTTCTTTACTGTCAACTACAGTTTAAATTGACCAATTGTAAATTGACACTTAGGCCTCAAGATAATCTAGCATGTTCCCACTGGCATTTTTAAAAATTTATGTTTGGTGATTGAACTTAAATTATTAGAGGTTGAAAAGCTTTTTTACCATCTCCCTAATCTTACGTTCCTTTTACAGATTCTCAATCATATTGAAGTCATGGACCTTAGCTTTCAAGTCAGAGGAAACACGTTAATAAAAAAAAAAGCAAATATTTATTTAAAACCTTTAAATATCACAAGCAGCTGAATTATTTTCATCCTATCATTATAAAGCAAATATCCAAACAGTAGAGACAGCATTGATGGAAAATAATATATGGTTCAAACCCTAAAATGGTCATTTTTTTAACAGTTCTTATCCCATTCATTTTCCATGTAGAACCAGCTTATCCTGAGTTACTTTTTTTTTATAATTCACATTGTTCTAATTTTATTACTTTTATGATGGTGATGTTTAATTTTAATATATTTTTAATTTATATTCATAGGGAAATAAAACAATACATTTTGTCTTCTACTGCATTAATTTGATCTGGAACCAACAAAACCATATCCCTGGAGAGTTTCTAGTGATGAACCATCAGACAAAAGGGAAATTTATCTGTGAACCCTTCCATTCTTTCATTAAAAAAAAAAGAAAAAGGATCATCAGAATAAATTAATTCTGCAAAACGTCTGGCGTTAAGCTATATGGCACAACAGCTATTATCTCGTATCATACTAAACCCGATCCATAAAAAAGAAAAAGCCCTGAATTGTGCAGCCGCTGGAAAAATGTGTCTGTTTTAGTGATTGATAATGGCTGATGCCACAGTCTGATGGCAATCCTTATGCTCATCAACGGTTTCTGAGTCATCTCAGATAATCAGCAGCTGATGCAGTGAAATAACTGCTGATGTTCGTTTTCACAATGATATTGTACATTTATTGGCCTCATCAACTGGCTGACGTATAAATCTATCTTTTAACTATAAATGGTTCAAAAAAATTGCACTCTGCTGCAAAATTTGAATCTTTTTATGGCAGTTTAATGCGACCCTTTGTGAAAATATCAAGGTAATACCAAAAGTTTAAGCAGGTTTTTCTTTTCAATAAAGTGACGATACTTCTAACTTCCAGATCCAGCACCTTGTCGAGCACAGTGTCGTCCCTCTCCAGTGCTGGCATCTCTCTCAGCCACATGGATGACAAGACGGAGGACAACCGGCTGCAGCAACATAAGGCGAGACATTTACTTCCACCTCTAAACTCAAATATCCATTTTGCTGATTCATTTAGGCAGCTAAAATGGGTGATGCATGGCTACAGCACAATGTGATTGTGAGCCAAGATTTTGTTGGTATTTTTGGAAAGAAATTCGCTCAAATGTGAGTGAACTGTGAAGAAATCTACAGGTGCTGGTCATAAAATTAGAATATCATGAAAAAGTAGATTGATTTCAGTAATTCCATTTAAAAAGTGAAACTTGTATATTATATTCATACATTACATACAAACTCATATATTTCAGGTGTTTATTTTGTTTAATTTTGATGATTACAAATGACAACAAATGAAAATCTCAAATTCATCATATCAGAAAATTAGAATATTGTGAAAAGGTTCAAAATTGATGGCCCCTGGTGCCACACTCTAATCAGCTAATTAACTCAAACCACCTGCAAAAGCCTTTAAATGGTCTTTCAGTCTAGTTCTATAGGCTACACAATCATGGGGAAGACTGCTGACTTGACAGTTGTCCAAAAGACGACCATCGACACCTTGCACAAGGAGGGCAAGACACAAAAGGTCATCGCTAAAGAGGCTGGCTGTTCACAGAGCTCAGTGTCCAAGCACATTAATAGAGAGGCGAAGGGAAGGAAAAGATGTGGTCGAAAAAAGTGTACAAGCAAGAGAGATAACCGCACCCTGGAGAGGATTGTGAAACAAAACCCCTTCAAAAATGTGGGGGAGATTCACAAAGAGTGGACTGCAGCTGGAGTGAGTGCTTCAAGAACCACCACACACAGACGTATGAAAGACATGGGTTTCTGCTGTCGCATTCCTTGTGTCAAGCCACTCTTGAACCACAGACAGCGTCAGAAGCGTCTTGCCTGGGCTAAAGAGAAACAGGACTGGACTGCTGGTGAGTGGTCCAAAGTCATGTTCTCTGATGAAAGTAAATTTTGAATTTCCTTTGGAAATCAAGGTCCCAGAGTCTGGAGGAAAAGAAGAGAGGCACTTCATCCACGTTGCTTGAAGTCCAGTGTAAAGTTTCCACAGTCAGTGATGGTTTGGGGTGCCATGTCATCTGCTGGTGTTGGTCCATTGTGTTTTCTGAGGTCCAGGGTCAACGCAGCCACATACCAGGAAGTTTTAGAGCACTTCATGCTTCCTGCAGCTGACCAACTTTTTGGAGATGCAGATTTCATTTTCCAACAGGACTTGGCACCTGCACACAGTGCCAAAGCTACCAGTACCTGGTTGAAGGACCATGGTATCCCTGTTCTTAATTGGCCAGCAAACTCTCCTGACCTTAACCCCATAGAAAATCTATGGGGTATTGTGAAGAAGAAGATGCAATACACCAGACCCAACAATTCAGAAGAGCTAAAAGCCACTATTAGAGCAACCTGGGCTATCATAACACCTGAGCAGTGCCACAGACTGATCGACTCCATGCCACGCCGCATTGCTGCAGTAATACAGGCCAAAGGAGGCCCAACTAAATACTGAGTGCTGTACATGCTCATACTTTTCATGTTCATACTTTTCAGTTGGCCAACATTTCTATAAATCCTTTGTTTTTATTGGTCTTCAGTAATATTCTAATTTTCTGATATGATGAATTTGAGATTTTCATTTGTTGTCATTTGTGATCATCAAAATTAAACAAAATAAACATCTGAAATATATGAGTTTGTATGTAATGTATGAATATAATATACAAGTTTCACTTTTTAAATGGAATTACTGAAATCAATCTACTTTTTCATGATATTCTAATTTTATGACCAGCACCTGTATATATCAAGTCTCTTTGTGCTCCCTACTGTTGTTACAGCTGAATAGGCTTGTACATTAATTCTGCAGTGCAATGAAATAAACTGCCTGTCTGGCTGCCAGCCCATAGTGTAGAGAAATGCACAGTGAATAGAAATGAAGGGAGTGTAAATAAGTCTGTGTTGCAAGCAGTTTCTTCCTTTAAATGCCTTGAAGTCCTTATTTTTTTTAAATAATTGTTAAATGTTTTACCAGCTTGACAAAAAGGGGAAAAAATGTATAATTTTCTGTTGCAGGAGGACGGTCACAAAGTGATGGACATACAGACGCCTACTGTTTCGCCCAGCACCCAGTCGGTGGGCAGTGCCAACAGCAGCGGAGGGGCCACAGATCTCTTCTCAAGCTCACCCAGCGTATCCATCAATAACCAGTGAGTCCAGCTTAATCTTATTCTCTTACCGTAATTCAGAATCCCAAATCTCTATCGTCAATTACATTAAAAGCTTAAGATATAAATCTTCACCTTTTTTTGTTTTTGTACTTTTAGTGTGCCAAACCTGAGCGGAGAGTTGTTCGCCCTGCAGCCCAGCTTCACCCCCATCCAGACCACACACACTGTGCCCAACAACAGCAATGCATGGGGAGGTGGGACCACTTATAACGCTACACATACACTGGCAAATAATTAGCAAAGCATTCTGTTATAGGCTAGGTAAAAGCCGTAACATCTTTAAATATCGAAAAAAAGAAATATGTGCTAACTGACTGTATATCAGTACGTTAACTTCCCTATCATGCATCCTATGTGTAGCATTAGTATTACCATAAAGTGAAATGAGGAGGCTATATAATATTCATATTAAGGCACACTTTAAGGTTTTGAATGGCACAAAACAACACCATCTGATAAGAGGATGTTTCTGATGGTTAAAGGACCTTTGTATGACGTCCTAACCTAAAGGTTGCTTATACTGCTGCTATACGAGTGTGCACGTCAAAGAAACAATCCTGGGCAAACATTTAAACAATGGCAGAATTCTACTATGCAAAATTTATTTTTGAAAATAAGTGCATTTTGTCTTGAATTGAGGAGGTAGGTGAGGTATTTGCCAATGGAATAAGACAATTTACGTTTAAAATAAGAAAAAAAACAATTGCATTGTCCTAATGCATATTATCTAATTATTTTATGAGTACTCATTCCATTGGGAAATCATCATATTTAGCTGCTTAAATTAAGGCTAGATATGCTTAATTTAAGATTTTTTTCATTTATTTCTAGATTGACTTTTGCATTGTAGTTTTTCAAATCATATTTTTTGGTTAGAGGCTGTGGTGAATTGGTGGCAGGCTGCTTTTGTAAAGGAGCTCCTAACATATCTCCATAGGATGCCTGTTTGCTAGATCTCCAAGCTACTGCTCTCCAACATTTCCCTTGACCTGAATTCCTCCTCTTCCGCAGAAAAACCTTTTAGAACCTAATTTCAAGCTAGAGGCTGCTATCCTTGCTTTTCCCTTTGGTGAACATTATGTTACACATTGATGCCTGAGTTTAAAATCTCAAACTTTATCAGTCTTCTGCACTCATCTGTGTTCTTGGATGCTATGCGCTTGTTGCTATTTTTTTTTCTTGATGTTAGCAATGAAACTAATCTAATTATTGTGTTCACAACCCTGCACAATGAAATTATAGTAATGATTATTCATACCTTTGGGATTCCCATATGCTCACAGACAAACAGTAAGAACTAGATAGGCTGCACATTTATTTTGTATTTGGATTGTATCCTGTACCTGTTTGCTCTCTTCTATCCTTTAATTTATTTCTTTTTATCAGGAGACCTGCTAAAGCCTTCCCCACTTACTCAGATTCACAGCCCTGGAGCTCCATTACACTCTGGTAAAATGCTGCCCAATGATTTGGATTCTTCACTAGCAAACTTGGTCGGGAGTAAGTAAAATCACTCCTTGATGCCATGTTTTCATCTTCACTTTTACCATCTGAGAAATTTAATTTCTGTTTCTTCTCTTAGACCTGCAGTTTGGGGGCACACCAGCCAAAAAGTGAGTAAGCTCAGCTTAAAAATAAACTTGTCCTTTCTGTATGTGATACGGGACTTTGGTGCATCTGAACAAATTAGAATGGCATTTTAAAAATTTGAAAAAGACTAATATTTTATTAATTCATAACATAGAATAATACATTTCAAGTGTTTATGTCTTTCAAACTTAATAAATAAAGCTTAAAGCTAAGTGAAACCCAATATATATTTCTAAAGATATTTAAATTCTACACAAGACTGTAACATTGTTCATAAAGCATAATTCATACACACTAGTATATGTATAGTGCTTGGACTTTGCTCCATTTGGTTGGATAACTACATCGGTTTGCTGCAGCATGGAGGCGATTAGCCTGAGTCATTGCAGAAGGTTTAAGGATGGGCATTTTGCTCTAATAGTGGCCTTCACCTCGTCTGCAGTGGTGGCTCTTTGCTCCATTCTGAACTATGGACTCCACTAGTTTAGGTCACAGCGTTACAAATCTGTATCTAACCACCCTTATTTTTTACTTTTGCATTATCTCTAACCAGTAATCATCATTCATCCTTGAAATGTATTACTTTTCGTGTAATATAAATTAACTTCTTGATGATGTGATGTAATAAAATGCACTTGTACGTGTGGCCCTGTTCTCTGTGTGTTTCCATATGTGTGCATCAGGCCAGAGTTCCAGTGGAACCAGATAGTGGAGAAGAAACCCACAGGAGGGAGTGGCTGGCAGTCAAAGACTATGTGTACCAACACCAACTGGACTCATGCTGCTCATCACATGGCACCTGCACCCATGGCGGTCCCTCAGATGGTAACATTAAGCTCTAATTCCACCTCCTACTTCTGCAATATTTGGCCTAACATTATCTTAGTCCTGCCTTCTATGGGTTCAAATCTGGCCACTGCAGTTTAAGTTTTCTATTTAAAACAGTACATATCTAATTACATGTTTCATTAACTACATAACTCTCAGCTAGGATGTTGAAGTGACATCATTTCCCAGGTGGTAGCCTTCTAGTTTCCTGCTTGTGTACGCACATATTCTCCATTGTACATTTATTACCATGATGGGAACTAATATAACCATATAAAAATAAAGAAAACTGTTCTAGCTGGTATTTTGACTTATGAGTACAAGTCTTAAACCATCAACTGAGGCACATTCTTTCATTGCAAGTCAGGAGTTGGAATTGCAAGCATAGGAAACCCATTTCAGCTCTGGGTAAATGCTTAAAGAAATCAATGCAATAATTTGCCAAAATGTTTGTCTGCTCAATCAAGGCAAAACTAACATAATGTCTTTGAAATAGATGAAGAGCGATCAAACATTAATGCACAGCTTCAGTGTATACAGATAGAAAGCACCAATCAGACTCCAAATGTGCAATGATGTCCTCGGATCATAAAGACAGCAAAAAAGTTGTCCTTCTACAAACTAAAGAACATCTCCAGGTTTAATGTCTCAGCAGGGCCTTGAAAATGTATATGTGTCAATATTAAGTAAAATGTATTATTGCAAGAGTGTCCATAGGTTTGCCTAAAAAATCAGTCAGACAACAGTTTCTGGTCCAAAATGCTGCTGCCTGTGTTCTCACCAAAACTAAGAAAATAGAGCACATAACCCCACTTCTAAAGTCCTCACTCAGGCTCCCAGTACGGAAGCGTATTGCATGAACCAAAGAAAAAAGATACAGATCTCGTAACTATTAAAACCTAATCTCAATATTATGAGATCTTCTCTCATAATTACAAGATAATATGTTATTATTTAGGAGATGATAACGGACATTCATTGCCGAGCTAAGCTACATGAAATGTGAACAATGAGTCGGTTATCAGATTTAATCTGCTTTTATTTCCTTTTAGGTATGCAACACTGGGAAATACTGAGTTTCCTCAATGTGGATGGAATTAGTTTTAGTTTGTCAGCATTGTGCAATAAGTCTTTAGAATTGTTTAGGTAAAAAAGCCCACTCTACTCTGACTTGATGAAAGTCCCGCTACTCCTGCAGCATGCTTTACGGCTGTAAATGAATGCATCTGAAATGCATTCCAGCTGGCTTAGTGATGTCCAAAAGAACTGTATGCCGATCTCAAAATCTTAAATGTGCAAGGAGTACAGCTGAGGCTTCAGAATCATTTAAAACAACCAGGTTCTAACTTTATGTGGCATGTCAATTCATATGAAAAACTAAAACCATACGGCATCTGTATTTAATGGAGCTATTGAGGGATTTCCACGTATGGTCATAAGGCTACATGCTTACTCCACATGTAGTAATCCCAGGGTTAAAGCTGGGTACTTTGTTGATGAATAGAAAAACAGGAGTGTGGCTCCAACGCGTATCATGGCAAACCAGGGTATAAAGAACTGTTCAGTGTAACAGATGCAGATATTTTTAAGAAGAAATCATGAAGACCAGTTTTCTGAGAGATGCTTCATTACTGACTCAAGTAATCATAACCAAATACATAGAAAAGATCTCGTTATTACGAGATCATATCTTGTAATTATGAGAAAAAAATGTACATCTAATTTAATTTACAAATAAATTCTTTAAAAATCCTACAATGTGATTTCCTGGATTTAATTTTTTTATTTTCATTTTATCGCTCATAGTTGAAGTGTACCTATGATGAAAATTACAGACGTCTCTCATTAATCTAAGTAGGAGAACTTGCACAATCAGTGGCTGAATAAATACTTTTATGGCCTCACTGTACTTTCTGTCCTGACCAATCAGAGCCCCCCTGTTCTCTTGAGAACTCCCCATGTTGGAAGTCTCCTACTTAAGTTGCAAATTTCTTTACTTTTACTCTTTTAAAATCATTATTTTCAGGGGTTACAAAAACTGTAGGTTGTGAGAGTCAAAATGCGAACCTACCATGTCAAGAAAACTGAATGTGGGAGAAAGTATCCACAAGCGCAATATTTCTGGTTAATGATGGCTTTTTTCTAAGATTATAAGATAAAAAGAATACTGTAAGGATATGGTATTTCTTGGAAAATATAGTTAATTTCATTGTATTGTGAGTCTATTTATGTTGCTATTTTTGTAGATTGATGATGCATCCAGAACAGTCCCAATCATTTGAGTACTTGAGAGCTTATAACCGTTTTCTCTTAAAATTATATAAATAGCAAAAATGACTTCTTGACAGAGCCTTGAACCATCAAAGACACCATCATTTATCCCTATTTGCCCTTTGTGCTTCACTGTAAATATCTCCCTGTCTCTTCCATTTAGTCTGGTTTCATCCTCATAATTTTTGGACCAAATGGGCTCTTTACTTTAACTGCTCATTTTGTAAGGAAATGGTTCAGAAAGCCAGAGGCAAGACTTGAATACAAAGCGGAACTGATTATATCATGATGAATGGACAAAGGTTCAGTTGCTGCACTTTTGGCCATTTTAAAAGATGGTGCAATTTAAACCTAAAGTATGAGGACCAGAATTGACAGTTTTCTCTTTTCTTTTATCTCTACAGAATGGGATGATCTATACGGGATATGTAAGTTTAATTAATTCTTCTATTAAACTTTTTGTTTTTAACTGTTCTCTTAACTCATGTGGCATATTGTTGCTGTCAACTTAAAGGTAACTTTATTAAATGTACTTTTTCCTGATGTCTTGGTAAAAGGCAATTTATGTTTACTATACTTTTTACAAACCTATGAACATTTTTTTAATAGAATTCAAAAAACCATTCATTTGATTAACTTTGTTTATATTGTTATAAGCCAACACATTGTAATGAATGACAGTTTAATGCCTTTATTTAGGTTTATTATGATGAAAATCCCTTTAATACAGCTGACGTAGACATTTAAAATAAGAATATTACGCAGGAAAAACAAAAACATATTCAATACAGAAATGTGTGCTTCATGAGAAGTATTTTGAATAACAGCTTAAAAGTTAACTACAAAACGTGCTTTTAATATTTAAAACAATCCTCACTGGAGCAGTTTATTATTTATTTAATATGCACTGTATATTGCACTTGCATTGTAAAAGTATTAATATTGGAGTATCATAATAAGATTCATTGACCTTTAATTTTTTTATGTTTTTTTTTTTTCTGTACAGGCTCCAGCACCAGTGGCTTTTCCTATGACGACACCCCAAGTGCCTGTGTATGGAATGGTAAAGCATAACTTTGTTAAACCCCCCAGAAACACATTTATAAAATACATTTTAAAATACGCTCATCCTGTTCTCACCTGTGCTTTGCCCAGCTCCCCCCTCAGATGAGTCATCAAATGGGGGGCGTTCAAATGTTACCCCCACAGCCTGTCATGTACAACCAGCCTGTCCTGAGACCCACCAATCCTTTTGGACCCATCCCTGGTACACAGGTAATTCAGACACATACATTTGGCTTTAGGTTCATGCCAGTTTAACTAACTCCACCACCTACTAACTTACAAAAACACAAGATTCCAGAGAAAAAAATATTGAGAAAAGACTTGGCCTCAAGAACTGTTGTCCAAACCTTGCGTTTCCTAATATAATAGAATTGAATAGAATTCAACTTTATTGTCATTACACTGTCACAAGTACAGAGCAACGAAATGTAGTTTGCATCTATCCAGAAGTGCTATACGGGATAAAAATATTTATTTACATGTGTAAACATGTGTACAGAGACTATGTATGCATAGTCTCTGTACACATGTAAATAATCAAGCCTGCAAATGGTATATATAAATAGAGAGTAATTGCAAGGGGCAATCAAATAAATATATATGGAAGCTATATACAGATTATATAGGAAAGTTAGGATATGGATTGTGTATATATATATATATATATATATATATATATATATATATATATATATATATATACAGTGTTGGGAAAGTTCTCTTTCTACGTGAACTAGTTCAAAGTTCAGTTCACACATTTTAAAATGAACTAGTTCAGTTCATAGTTCACAATTCCAAAAAACGAACTAGTTCATAGTTCTTTTTTTTTTTTTTCATATATTGCTCAATTACACCATAGCCTACTGTAGAACCACAGACGGCAATTTTTTTATCAGTTGTAACACTGAAACTGTGCGTCAGATTTCATCTTCATATCCAGTTTTGAATCCTTATCCAACCAGGGTTTACATTAGCATTGAGGGGACAGCATTTCCCCATTGTTGCTTTAATGCTTTGTTGCTGTCCATTCACTTCACACTAGCAGCAGCTGCAGCTTTCACCCCTACAGTGTATTCTCAAAAACATCAGGAAAAATGTGCTGCTTGAATGGTCTTTTTTATGAGTAATTATTGATTCCATTTGAAATTCCATTTCAATACATACTAAAAAGGAATCCTGGAAAATTATACCAGGCAGGTTTAACAAACAAGTTACATGGATAGTAAAACCCTCAAGAACAGGGGTCTTCTATTTTTTCCAGACCAAGGACCCCCAAACTGATGGCGAGATGGAGCGGGGACCCCCTAACTATATATATTGTATGAAATTGTGTCCTATAGTCACTCTATTACAGATGGAGTAATGTAAAGAAATTAATTTCTCCCTGGGATTATTAAAGTTTTTCTGATTCTGATTCCTGGTTGATGGGACAGGTGTTGTGAAGGAAACGGTGTCCAGCTTGAAAGAGCTCCTGTGTGTCGCTGAATGTGAGCATTGATGACTGAAAGACATCTTCTGCCTCCATGTATCTGTTTACTACAGTGTGTTGATTTCATGTTAATGAGTATTTAAAGACATTTCAATTAGTGGGGGGAAAAAAATGCAGGGGGGGAATATAAAAATATCAACTAACCATGCAGACCCTCATGCAGTACCTCCGTAGACCCTCTAGGGGTCGCGGATCCCGTTGAAAACCTCCGCTCAAGAAGATTTTACTAACACAAACTGAGGGACCAGGCTAAGGTAGGAATTTAAGGTTACTGAAGTGCGGATTTTTTTACTGAAAGCCGGTGGGCAAACTTGTTGCCATCATCCTCACCGACCACCTGGTCATAAACCTGTTTTAAGTCGCCTCCATGCTGCTGTTGCTTCCACGCTGCATTTTGTTTTGATGACGCACGCGGCTGTAGGCTACGACACTGGTAGCTGGTGTTGCCAGATTGGGTGTTTTTCCAGCTACATATTAAGGCCTGTTAACGGTGTGATTTAGCCGGGGTTTCGCCTGGAGGGCTTTATAGAAATCTGGCAACCTATTGAACAGAGTTGAACTGAGAGAGCGTGCCGTTCACAGACACCAGAATGAACGAGTTCACAATAACGTTCATCAGGCAATAATGCAGTACGTTCAGTTCACGTTCGCCCAAAATATGAACGAGTTCATGAACTTGCGTTCAATGAACGCGTTCAGGCGCAACACTGTATATATATATATATATATATATATATTAGGGGTGGGTATTGGCAAAGAAGTCATGATTCGATTCACATGCTATGATGCGATTCTATCACGACACTTGAACAATTGCGATGCATCGCGATGCATTGCAATATTTTCACTGAACACTGTAAGAAAAAGATACAGCCCTTACCAGTGGCTGACTGGCTGGGTATGATCTGGATCGTGTCTCCAATTGATACATAACTGAAAGCAACTGAATTCATACATAGCTGTATTTATTGAAATGGCTTTTGGAGGTGTTGCCATGAAAACAAATACTGGACACAAATATTACTATTACTGGCGTGGACACACTGACAAAAAGATCTTAGGATTCCTAAAACTTAAAATAACAAAATAAGGATAATCAGTGCCACTTACATGGCCTCAGTGGTCCTTTTGCAAATTACATGCATCATATCAATTTCATTTTTACCTTCTTTGTTTTTAAAGCCAGAATGCATACAAACTTACTTGAAATGTGATGGAGCCGGGGGGGCCAATTTTCTCAGTCTCCTCCATATTTTGTTTATGAATGACTCGTCGCAGTATCCCGCAGCCGGACATGCTTGTGACACAAGGCAGCGGGCGTCAACACATCCGCAGCGACACCTGCTGGACTGGAAGTTGTATTCCACTTGGTTTGGCAGATGTGCGCCAACCGTTAATGTATTTTTTTTTTGTTCATTTTTTTTATTTTTATAATCGATTCTTGCCTTCAAGAATCGATTATAAAAAAAAAAAAAAAAAATTAGAATCGCGATGCATCATCATGACGATTATTTTGCACACCCTTAATATATATATATATATATATATATATATATATATATATATATATATATATATATATATATATATATATATATATATATATATATATATATATATATCTGAGTGGGGTTATGATACAGGATTGGTAATGACAGATAAAAGATTTACAGATTACTACAAATAGTAATGTTTGTAGTCAACAGCTCACAAATTAGGTCGTAAAAAAACTTCCGACACAGACATCAAAGAGGAGTGGTAATCCTTGATGCTTCCAGCAAAGGAAATTTAAACAAAACAGACTTATATGTGTATCTTATGGAAACTTTCACATGGGTAGGAGAGCCCTTAGTAATGTTGAGCCTTTTAGTTTGTTACTTGTTGGAGTTCTAAAATAATAATTGCTATCATATCATGTATATTTCAAAATTAAAGTTTTGTAAATGCCATGATTTTATTTCATTTAGGATTAACGCACATTAGAACCACTCACCAAAGACAAACTTCCTTTATATTCCTCTAAGAACACTGGAAAAATGTAAGACTGGTGATCACAAACAAGTAGGTTGGATGTTTGGAGCGATAAAGGATTAAATCGTAAGACTGCTTCAATTTCTGAGGAACTGCGTTTTAAAACGATTGGAAACATGGGTCAAAAAGCTGTTTTCCTGGCACTGCAGCAAGGAATGTGTTTACACTATCACGAGTTGCCTGAATGCATGATGAGTTGTTTTGTTGGACTGAATTACTCTCATTTCTCTTCTTTGCCTTCTACAGATGCACTTCATGTAGAGATGATGTTGTAACCATAGCAGCAAAGCTGAGAGAAAAGAGGCAAGAGAAAGAGATCGAAATGAAAGAGCTGTCAGCAAACACAAGTATATAACCAAATCCAGTGCAGGACGAAGAAAGAATGTCGAGGGAATGGAAGGACCAGACCAGAGGATTAGGAGAAGATGAAATACTGATGTCAATTTATTGTTACTTCACCTTCTATTCTCCACGTGGCTTACAGATTAGTCTGTCTTTAACCCATGAGTGCAAACCTGGAGAGTCAGAGGCTCCTCATCAGTTCAACGCAACTTATCTTTGGCCTCTTCAAATGGCAATCCCAGCCTATGCTGACATTGAAGAGACTGACAGCTATATGGAAGTTCTTCACCTTCTCCTGAGCCAATTCTCGTGTTAATAACCTTTATGAAGACTAACCTGCATCTCTCCGCATCCAACATGTGAATCAAACTTGGAGGGCAAACATCCCTTTCTCTGATTCGACCATTTGCTGGCACTTTACTCAATGTGAACTATTGCCAAGGGTGTGTTTCTGCGTAGATGATCCTAGCATTTTGTTCCGATTGGTTCATGATTGCTTGTCGTTCATGACTTGATATTAGGGGTTTGAGTGTGTGCAGATGTTTGCTTTTATTTTTATACATTTCTGCAAGCTGCATCAACATTTTTTTTGGTCTTAAATGCGTTAAACAATGATTTTCGAGTATGCCTGTTTGACTGTAGATGGACGTAGCTCTTTAGAGTGTGAACTCTGTGTGGATGTGTATAAATTATCTTTTGGTACCTGATGTCACAACTGTGTTGCCAGGTGCCATTGTGTTACTGCACTGGAACTAACCGATGAAAGCACTGAGCCAGACCCAGCTATTGCATTTGGATGTAAACAGACCTCTCATACTAACTCTGCTATTTGGGGACATGCTGTACACATTGTTTTTCCTTTTTTTCGTTTTCTCTTCTGCAACTGTGAGATATTGTAAAACCTCATTAACTGTCCTTTTCCCACTTTTGGCCTGTTTAGAAGCTCCCTTCTGACACAGCGTACTTTATTTGTCCACATTTCTCTGTATAGAATTCTTTTACTTTTCCTGGTTATTTTATAACCTTCTCTTGTATACCTGTGCTGCTCTAATAGTGAAACGTAGAAGGGGATTTTAAGTCTGGCCAATCAGAAGTGGTTTTCTCTGTGTCCTAAATTAGTTACATGTTTAGACTTGTTCAGAAACACTTGATTTGGGCAACGACTCCAGCTCACGTGCAACCTTTACCCAGAGGATTTGGGCTTTTGTTAATCAAGCCTTATACAATTAGGATAGCTAAAGGTCATTGCAAGAAGTCCAGTGAACACCCGACCATCAGAAAGCGGCTGAGGGTAATGTCTTGTGATCACAGCCCTGGTACGCCTGCAGTGATGGCGCACAGATCAATCCAGGCAGCCCGAGACGAGGAGCCTTAATGAGGCATTAAACGCTAATGTGGATTTTCTGGCAGATCCAAGGTCAAGACAGACGCACAGTCTGATAATAGATATATACATATATTTATAGCACAAACCTTCGAAGAAGGAACAATGCTCTGCTGCACAAAAACCTTAAAATCATTGCTGGGATGTACAGTGAAAAGGGGCAATAATTGATTTGGGGTAAGGTCGTTTTCTATTGATTATGTTTGTTCTATGTACATGTACTGTGTGTGTTTGTGTGCACATGCCTTCGCATAGAGATTAACAGGGTCATGTTCCTCGGTTAGAGATGGAAAGTCTCTAAGCGACATGGTAGCGCGTACTAACTTAGCATTGAGTGTTCTTGTGACTGTCTGAGTCTGTTCAACACATTAGTTGTAGGCGGCTTAAGGATCTTTTGCCTGCTGAATGCAGTCCAACCGGACTCTTCAGACAGCAGGTGATTTCTAACTAAATCTTTAGAGAAGACCAAACGTATAATGGCGTAGTGATTTAAGGTTAAGTTCAACTGACACCGGGCTACCTGCAGCTAAGACTCTACTACCAGCAGAGATGTGTTAGAAATCATCTTCAAGCAGGCAGATATCTTAAGGTTCCATCTATTTGACAAGTTAGCTGTTGTTACACTCCATCGTTCTTGTTCCAGTGGTTTGTCCTTGAGCTGAAAGCTTTCTCCAATAAGCTTCTCAGCTTCACAACTCAACCCATCCTGGGATCTGACTGTTACTGTTTCCCCCTCTGTATATAGGTAATACTGTTCATGTGTTTTTAAACGTGCTCTCTCTGTGAACGTGATCAAAGCCCCATTGGATGACTTACTGTGTTGGACAATTTATTGCTGTATCTATGTTTGAATGGTTGTACTTTTGAAGTTGTCATCATCCAGGGATGGGCGGGTGGGCTTGGGTCGATGTTTGTGCTCTTTGTGTCCATCTCAAGATGGAAGCGGCGGGAAGGGAGGGGGGGTTGGGGTCGACGGGAAAACTATCACAACTGGTCAATACCAAGAGTGTCTTCATTGAAAAAAAAAAAAAAAAAGAGGACAGGACGGGGTCTGTCCTCTTTGCAACAGGAACATTTTTTGCACCAAAGTCATCATCAAAGCGCAGCTTCTTATCCAAGGTCACGAAGGATGGATGATATCAGAACTCCAAGGATTCTTTTCTTTGGTTCTTTTATTTTCTAAAGACAAACAACACTGTCTCTTTTGCATGATTATGTGTCGTCTTTTTATTGGCTTGTGTGCCCGGTAAAAGCATGACCATAGTGTGAACTCACTCTTACCGGTGTGTTTGGAAAATGTTAAGGAACTTTCTCATTGAGATTTTTTTTTTTTTTTTTTTACTTACCTCTTGACATTCATCATCAGGTGTTTTACGATGTCAGGTCTGTAACTGTTTGAAGGTTGCCTCGCATGGATAAATGCAACTTGCAAGTAACCCCCTTCAAACCCAGTTATCACGACTGCATCCCTGTAAAACGCTGTGGATGTCAATGCCGGTTAACACCCAACTAGCTAGACATTGCAGTTCTGTAAAAATTGCTCTTTATTAAAGCATTGCTATTTTCAATACGCGTGTTTGAATGCTCGCTCCTTTTTCATATCAAGCCAGCAGTATCTTGGGAGGTTGTGGTTCGAAGTACTGTACTTGTGTTTGGTCTGGTTCACATTCTGTGGTGTTTCTTCAGTGTTTGGGTGTTGTCTTGTCTTACCATCAGAAACCAAGATCCCAGTCATCCACCACAATGCAGCGGTTTCCAGAAACTTTATTTTTAACAATGCAAAATAAAAACATTAACTGTTTTATATCAACTGTGGTATTTGCAACTAAACTGTATAAGAGAAAGATACATGAAATAAAGTTCTTAAAGGCCTTTATACTCCGCAGACATTACTCTGCCTAGCTGAAACAATCCTTAATACCCCAGACATAGATTTATCATTACTTTAAAAGTATTCTTTCTAAGGAATAACATGTATCGCTCAAAAGATTGCTGTAGAACAATTTTCACAGATGTTTTTGCGGTGTATCTCTAAGGTTAGAAGACCTCCTTGCCATCTCTCTGTAGATAGTTTCAACTTCTAAATCAGGACCTTTAATTCACTCAATGAGTTAATGCTTTAAGTCAGAAGATTCCTGCTGGCAATAATAACACATCACTTTATAATCTGCAAGGTGTATAAATAACTTTGAGCCTAACTGTAGATGTGCAAAATCAAACATTAACTAAGGCACCGGCCACTTTATCATCTACGCATTGCTAGTAGAAAACTGGACTCCTTTGAACCTCAAGAAACAGTCAAAAATCTTTAGATGATTTGGTCAATAGTAAGACAACATAGTGAAGTTGTGTCATATCTAAGTGTTGCATATCTATGTGTTACTACTTCACAAAGGTGCCCTGTACAACATCTGGAGAACAACATAAACTGTTAAAGGTGATTTGCACTTTGTGACATGGTTCATTACCCTGCTGGAAGACATTCTCTTAGGAATGGTTAGTTTGTTGTAAAATTGAAAGAAAAAAAACAAAAATTTTTTAACTGTGCTTCCCTGTGTGCCAAGAAAAACAAAAAACCCTCCAAAACCATTACACCAGCCTAAACTGTTGGTACAAGACAGCATGGAGTCATACTCCCTTGTTCACTATGTGAAATCAGACCTCATGAAACAAAGCAATGGTTTTGACATTTATTCCAGTCAGGTAAATCCAGTCTATCACTGCAGCTTCAATATTCAGAGGTCAGGAGTGATTGCAGGGTTGGCAGTTTATAGTTGCTCTAAACTTCATGCTTTACAGATTGACATCGCAGACCTTTAGAGACCAATCTGTACGTAGTGGAAGGAAGGAGCGGTTACTAGACCTTTTGTCACCTTTATCATTTCAAACCAGCCTGCGCAATACCCTCAGACAGCACCAGGGCAATTTTTCTATTCAAACAAGTCATCTTTGATTTTCTTTTTTAAACACTCTCGAAAACCAAAGAGGGTTGTGTGCTTCAACTCCAGATGATCAACAGTTTCTGAAATACCCAGGAAACCTGTCTGGCACCAACTATCAATTCAAACTCAGTTTTTCTACCTTCTGACAATTCATTTGAACTTATGATAATCCAGGTACGGCTTCGGGAACATCTAGGTGTCTAAATTCACCAAGTAACTGCCATGCGTTTGGCTGAGCCACCAAAAAAATAACAGGCCAATCTATGTATGGGATCTGCGCAACTAGAGCTGAGCTTGAAAATACAGTTCTATAAAAATTAATTTACAGTCTTTCAGAGTACCGGTAATCAAGTAAATATAAGATACCAAAATTAGCATTAGCCTTAAACAGGTAACCACACAATTCCAGCAATGTTTCTATTTGCGAGATAAACTACTTGCTTATTAAGTAAATAACTTTTCACTTATTGTAGACAATTGTCCCCATCCTGATCTTTCTGCTGGAAACTTTTTTATTTTTTTTTTATTGGAAACTGCTGCATTTTCATATTGATAGCCGAGTACATGCATAAATCAAGTCATGTCATCACCTCAACATAGCATTTCTGTGTACTGCATTTAATCTCCTTGTGTCCATCTTTTAGCCGATTAACTGTTGTTGAGAGGATGAAACTTTGTAGTGTCTTTGGCAACATCATCTTTGCAGGGACTAGGTTTTAATAGTTTAGGATTGTTATTGAATTATATAATAATCCTAACCTCCCTTATAACAATCCTAATTATGTTATAATTTTCTTTTTTATTATTTAAAGGCATATATTGATGTTTTTTGGAAGAAATTGAATAAAAACCATCATCTGATGTTGATCTCAAGAGTTATCCTGCTAAAGCACAATATTTACACACACACACACGCAAACGTTTGGTTGAAATTTATTTATTGATAATGAAACATTTCAAAGAACAAAGGACAAAATGTAATTTAAAACATTGTAGAATTTGTGTTCATTGCCATTCTTACAAGTTGAAAGTGGCATCAAAAAAATGTTTTTTTTTGGAGATGGGGAGTCTTGCGCCGTACCAGCAACCGATCCTGAGCCAGGATATTCAACTCTGAAATGGAGAGCTCTTCATCAAGGCACTTAACCCCTAAAGTGGCCGCCGGGTCACCTTAATAAAACTAAAACATCCCACCCCACTGAAATGTCCCGAATCTGGTTCTGGCTGTGATTGCCCGGTACTTCTTTAGTGATAGGCAGCAGTAAAAACAAAATGTCTGCTGAAAACAAGCAGTTTTAATATAAAGGTGGTAGAAATGTCCTCAGAGGTTTGGTGACTTTACAAGTCAGAAACAGGAATGTATGAGCTCAGTATGCTTGAAGAAAAATAAGTCAGAAAACCAAAGGAGGAGAAAAAAAAAAAAAAAAGATCGACTCCCGTTAAAAAAAAGAAAAATTAAAAAACAGGAGAAAAAGTTCCAGATATCAGAAATCCTGACCAATTAAAAGCCCAAAGACAAAAAAAGGAATACTAAGCACGAACATGGCTGTTCCTGTTTAGTAAAAAAAAAAAATATGCTTGTGAGTGTGTTCGCATGTTTCGGGGCGGGGCAGAAGTGTGTGGTCTGAGTGTTTACCTTTAGTGGGGGGACACCCCCATCGTCCACAGCAGTTTCAGGCCTAACGCTGCTGTTTTCCCCATCCCACTCTACAGCTGCGTGCGGCGAACGTCCGGGGCAAGGGCTCAGTTTGGCTCCCTCCCACTCTAGCTGCAATAATCAGCAAGAGGAAGAAGGTGGCTGGAGCAGCAGCAACAACAATGCATGCAACTAACAGTTCACATGGAGAAGGTGGAATAATGTGAAAGTGTTTAGCTGCTATGTGTCATCTGAACCTTACACTGTCAGCTGGGGTGCCCGATGAAAAAACAAGACACTACTGTAGAAGGAGGGCTATTATTAGGTTTAGTCTGCCTTTATTAACCAAGTTGGATAGATTATAAGTGCAAAGTAACTGTAATGGGAACCCAAAAGAAGCCAAATTCAACTTTTGCATCAAGAGGTGAAAAACGGCTGGGAGAAAACTAATCATCTGCTCTTCTTACTGCCGCTGGGGATGCAAGGAAATCATTTAAATCACCTCATTTCCACCCAGTCAAAAACCGAACAAAACCACAACGTGTAACGGAAGAATCTACCCTGCAGCTACCTTTAATGAGGAATCGCTACAGTTGACAACCTTTGCCGTCTCGGCCTCAAACCTCTATACAGCCTCATTTTAAAGAATCCCGACTGCCAACTCACTGTTAAACAATCAATCACTCCATCTTCCTGCTAACAGTCTCTATCATCAGCCAGTGGGTGGCTGGCATGGCTCTTTCAGATTCAGAAAACGATTGGAGTATATACAGGAGTACCAAAGTGTACATTTTCCCTTATCTCTGATGATTTCTATGAAGTGGTAGAAGAAAAAAAACAACAACAGGAAAACCAGCTACTGAGAGAAAACCTGAAAGCAACTTGGTTTCTATAATGTATGCTTGATTGTTGACATCCCCCTGGCCCTTACAAATTCACAAGTACACAACAGCTGTCTAAAATAATGTAACAAATGTGAATGCATTGAAAATGCTTTCACTAATAAATGGTAAAGCATTCAAAACGAAAGTGAACTCTGAAAGAAATCCAGATTCTCCTTTGATGTAGTAGTGGCTAAAACGGCGAACCCAGGCTGTACAAATGCGATGTCTGGCCTAAAGCAGAAAACATCGACAACAAGAGATCATTTCTCCTTGTTTTCTGTGTCGTCATCCATCCATTTTTACGTATTTACTTAAAACACTAATGGACAACCTGCTGAAATCTTGGATTTACCCACTTTTAAATAACAGAAAAAAAATATTTTAATTGGAGATGTGAGCTTATCTCTTTACAGTAGACTATGAGGAGAATATAGACGTTTTATTTAAAATCATAAGTTGTTTAACTGGGTGCCACTGTCCCTTGGTTAATTTAACAAAAAACACTTTATCCAAATTCTAATAAAAGTGAAATTCCCACGAAGCTTTTCCAATTACAAAATTAAGTATTCTTAATAAAATTTAGTGAATCCAGTTTAAATAACTGTAGCACTTAATGCAAAACAAATCAGCATCTCAACAAACGGCAGAGTTATGAAACCTCAGACTAATGGTCTTGAGGGAAAAAAAACTGAAATTCTACATCTTAACTGTGGGTCGTTTCAGCATTTCTTCAGATTCTCTTAATTAAAAAAAGAAAGAAAAATAAGTCAGTTTGAGTTTCTGCTTAAATCCATTTCTAGTTACTTTTTTCTCATGAGGTGCCTTTGGAAAAACATTGATCGAGCTTTTCCTGTCAGATGCCATTTGATAAACGTTGTGGCGTGCCGATACAGATTTTATACCCTCAAAGAAAACAACGCACAGGAGAAAAATTGTGTTCAGCGGATTAATGGGAGGTAGCAGTTATGAATCCGACAGAAAATGTACGGGAAAACGCTGCTAACACATGTCTCTAATCTTATTTTATTGAAATAAAGGGGATAAAAGTACATGCTGAAGGTTGATCCCTTTTATGTAGTGAAAATTGTGGAAATGTATTTGCTTTTAAATTAAATTGGAAGACGATTGAAAATCAATAACCGAGCCATGGATCCAAAAACGAATCTAAACTCATCTTGATTAAATCAAACTTTAAATTAATTGGTCCTAATCACAAATATTAACCGTAGAAATCCTTATTGGAAGAAAAAGTTTACTAAAACAGGGATCACTGAAACATTTTCCTAACAGAGAGAAAATGGGAAAAGCTCAGGGGTAGGAACACCCATCAGTTACATGAAGCTAGAACTAATCTGAAATAAAACCGAATATCTTTAGTATGGATTAGAAATGAGATTCTGTACAGTTTCAGTCACGTGATCAGAGATTATTTTATGTAGCTTTATTGATTGTTGTTGACCAATATATAGGTGACAAGTGATTGAATTTTCAAATTTGTCCGAACAATTTACTAAATTCTAGGACAAATTAATAGAAGCCATTACTCCACATTGAAACATACTGGATTCCCTAAGAAACCACCGAGTAACAGAAACAAACCAAGTCTGGGAAGAAACTATGCAGACCAAAGAACGGCTCTTGATCCAGCAAAAAAAAAAACGAACAATGGTTGAGCTTGACCTCCAACTCTAACCACGCCTCCAGGCAACAATTTAGGATCAACATTCAACAAGGAACCAGTTCTGCTCTACAAAAAAAAAAAAAAAACAACTTTGAAAGCTCAACAATATCCCGTTTAAAGCCACTAAATTATCTCCTTGCGTCTGAAGACGCTAATTTGTCGATAATGGGAAAAACATTTAGCCAAGAAAGACATAATGGTGCTTTGGATCCAAAGCTCATTCAGACACCACCTGGCTTCCTGTTTGAATTTCTTTTTAAACTGTCCCTCATGTAAATGTATATATATACGTGAGCACACACGTCAGAGGTGTGTATGGAGTGTGTGGAGGGAGTGGGGACTATCGATAAGGGGGTTCTGGCGTGTGGTAAGGGTAATCGTGACGCTGGGGCTTGGGTTGCCCGTGTGCGGGTGTCTGCTCATACGGTGTGGATGTGGAGTAGTTTCCCGTTGCTGGGTAAGCTCCAGATGAATCATATGCTGCCGATGCTCCGTAGCCCCCAGATGTGTCATATCCTGCTGAGGCGTCGTAACTTCCTGAAGAAGCATTGTAATTCCCAGAAGAAGTGTCGTAGGACCCCGATGATGCGTCGTAACCTCCTGAATTGGCGTAAGCTCCTGGGGCGGCATAGGCGTCCGATGCGGCATAAGTTGGGGGCGCTGTGTATGTCCCTGGTGGGGCGGGGGCTGTGGTGGGGGCTTGGGTCTGTCCACTGGCCGGTGCGGGAGGTGGCGGAGGAGGATTGGTGTAGGCGTACTGGAGATACTGGTATTGTTGCTGATATTGTTGATACTGTTGGTACTGATGCATTTGCTGGTAGTATTCTGAATACGATCTACAAAGCAGAAAAAAAAAATGTGTGAGAGGAACAGAAAATATTGGAAGAGGCTGTAAACCATCATTTTGACTTGCTGCGGTTTCTCTTGGCAGGAGTTTTGTGTTTATCTCATTCTGTTTGCAGGACATTTTGAATACGCTGTGAATTCATGCATTTTAATGGCTTCAAACTCCTTTTGCAAATGAGGGCCGCAAAGCCGTGCCTCACCTTGTAGCCTTTAGAGTATATAAACTTCTCAATGTCTTTCTCTTCATACCATAAGATAAGATTCAAAGGAATCCTACCTCAACTGGTCAGTTAATTGGAATATCTTTTTATCAGATCAGGGCAAGTGACTGTTTTAGGTCATTTCATTAATCACAATATTTGGCAATATTTTAGTCATGGCTAATCTGGCTAAGATTATTTAGTCTTAGTTCTACTAAAAATGTATGTTTTTTTTCCTCCTTTTTTAATGCTTAAACTCCCAAGGACGGTATGACGGTTCTGAGATTTGAAAGGGAAAAGAACTTTATCTACATCAATCACATGTTGCTCATGTTAACCTTTTTTTTCTGTTTCTATATTTCCTTCATTTTCACGTAATTTTTTAATAAAATTAAAAACGTAAAAAAATAAATATGGTTAATTCTACCTCAATCTCCAACAGCCGCCATTTTCACGGCTTTATTAATTGCATTGTAAATTTTTCCCGCAGTTGACCGACTTTGGTAGCGTTGCCTAGCAACCAACATTCTCCCTAGAACTCCTTGGCTTTCAAGGGATCCAACAGTGAAACAGGCTTTAGGAATGCTTCAAAATATTGATGATAGCGGTTCGGTCGGAGTGGGGGAGACCGATGAGGAAGACTGGGTAGGAAAATATACATTAAAAAAAATATCCCAAATTTGTGTGTGACCTAGTTTTGAGAAAACAAAAAAAGTATGAATTAGACACTTTAATGGTGAGGAAGTGGTCAGAAAACTGGATGCTAAGATCAACTCTGTACCGACTGAGCCAAAAATAAAAGTAGGCGTACAATGTCAGATGAAAATCAGATGATCCTGTCACAGCCTCTTAGCAGAGCTGGAACTGTGCTTCTTTACAAAGCCATAAAACTGATCTAATCCAGCCTTGGAGAGGGGAAGTAACAACCTTGTAGATTTTCAAAAAGAGCCTAAAGGACTTCCAGCAAAAATCCCTAGATCAACAGACAACAACACATTTAGTAATTTACACAATAAGTGGTATCATTTAACAGTATGTATGCTGAGTCCCATTTTGTTGAGATATTTTAGCTATTAAACCCTTTGCATATTTAATTATGCAGCTTAGCATAAACGAGAACAAAGATGGGAATATTTTCTGAGCTCAGTAAAGAAACGCACAGAAGATCTGACTAAATGACCTTATTAGATGGTGCGGTGTCTCACATGAGCTGTAGCTTTATCCTTTTTATTTAACGAGAACATGTGCTGGTTATCCAAAGTTCAACATCAAATTAGATAGAGTATAGATTAGTTTGAATAACTGAAAGGAATGGGTGGATATGAAAACTAAAAAAATAAACTAATCCCTCCAAGTCACTTTCATCATGCTTACCTGTTCTAATTCATAAAATGTATCAGTAAAGTATTACAATACAACAGCAGCAATATTATGAAACATTTTTATTTTTTAAACCTGTTCCTGTTAAGCTCTCTGAATCCAGGGGTCCCATTTATGAAACATTGTGTAGGATCCATATTAAAAGTAAAGATATCCTAAATGCCTGAAAATGGGAGTGCACCCCCATTATGTATGACTTTATGTACTCTTCATGTCCACATTTAGCCATAAGCCCCATTTACACTTCCTTTTAAACTGTGCCAAGAAAGCATGGTAACTGCTGATTGTAAATGGAATGCAACTGAACCGGACCGTGCCAAACACAATGTTCTGTTGCAACTGGAACCTTTAAAGCTCAGCATTAACAATGAAAAACATCCAAAGATCTGACTCCCACTGGGCGGAGGACGCCATCTAGGCACATAAGTTCCCGAATGTTATGGGATCCACCAATTTTGTTTGCGTAATTCTAAACTCAAGGGCTGTAGTATCATGGACCACTGATAGGAGGCGAGGAACTGTGCTAGCGTGACGTGTAAATGGTCGGTAGAACCAAGCTTGGCACGGTTAACTGATCCAAGCTCAGTCCAATCTCGGCACGAATCGCTTTCAGAGGGGTAGTAATGCATGAATGTTATTGTGAATTTACATGAGTCAGATGATCATTATTATTTAAAAATTACCAAGGCAACTACAACCAGGAGAGAGAAATACATTTCAGATTACCTGAGGCACAAATAGATGTGTTGGTGAGTGAGGTGGAAATTTAGATACAGGGTTCCTACAGCATAAGGCAAGTTCAATTCAGGACTTTTTAAGACTTTTTGATGCCACTTGAAATAAAAATTTAAGACCAAATTCACAAGAAACAAGAAAAACCCGCTTGCGACAACTTAACCCAAAGGTTCATTATAACATAAACCACTGCACTAATGTTTCAAATTTTGAAAAGCTTCCCACACAGGAAGAAAGCTAAAAACAGACAAATGACAGATATATTTTAACAATTATTTAACTGAATTTACAAACTTTGTTTTAGCAGGGAACAAAACAAATCAGTTTTAAAGCCACAACATAACCAGTCTTTTTTGCAGCTATTTTTCTTTGTATCGTTTTTTTAGTATGTTTGATTTGGTGAAAAGTGGAGGCGTTGCAGAGACAAGGGTGGAACAAAACCGAGAAATACCGGCTGGTTCTCGGTAACTCTATTTTGACGCTTTGTGTTTCGTGCTTCGCATGTGCGACTCCACTGCCTTAATTCCCATCGTTCTGAGCTTGAATGACGTCTTGCACAAAATACACTGTGCCTCATGTATGTTCCCTGGTTTTAGCCATGGAGAAAACTCTTGACTGGAGACAATTTTCGTTCCATTCACACTTGCTCATATTTTCCAGACAAAAAGTTAATGGCCCATCTTCCAAATGTCCCGGCCGCACCAACGCTTTTATTGGTTCCGCTATCGGGACGGAACCAATAATGGCAGGCTGTTATTATTTTTAAATAAATAAAAAAAAGGTAAATTTTAATGTTTTATTTAGATTACACAAATAAATCATAATAAAAATAATCCCATTTATGATGTTTTAAAATTTAAAGGAATAGTACACCCAAAACATGATTAGCCTTCATCTTCTACTCACCCCCATGCTGAACAACACTCTGGAGTACTTTTTTGATATCTCAAATGCATCTGGAGATCTGGGAGGCTTCTTGCTGTCTGCTGACATTCAAATAATGGAGGTCTATTGTGCCCGAGACAGAAAGGTCCATAAAAGTCCACAAAAACGTGTCAATATTCCTCCATACTGCTCGTCCAATGTAATCCAAGTGTCCTGAGTGGGTAGCATCCAGAATTTACTCGAAACGAAGTCATTTAGAATGTTTTTAAGAGCATAAACAGTAGTGTATAGGATTTCCTGAAAGCGCGCACATGCGCGCTCACGACGCTACGGAAGCCGGCAGACCAAACCAGATGAAAGTGCGCATTCAGCGTCTGCTCTGCCAATAATGCAAGCGTAGAAGAAGAAATGTGCTGTTTACCTGTGCAAAGAAAGAAACAACGAAAGAAAAATGTCTGAGGACTTCAGTGTTGAGGAAGAGCATGAGTTCTTTGCCGAGCTGAATGCGCTGGTTTGGTCTCCCGGCTTCCGTAGCGTCGTGAGCGCGCATGTGCGCGCTTTCAGGAAATCCTATACACTACTGTTTATGCTCTAAAAACATTCTAAATGACTTCGTTTCGAGTAAATTCTGGATGCTACCCACTCAGGACACTTGGAATACATTGGACGAGCAGTATGGAGGAATATTGACACGTTTTTTGTGGACTTTTATGGACCTTTCTGTCTCGGTCACCATAGACCTCCATTATTTGAATGTCAGCAGACAGCAAGAAGCCTCCCAGATCTCCAGATGCATTTGAGATATCAAAAAAGTACTCCAGAGTGTTGTTCAGCATGGGGGTGAGTAGAAAATGAAGGCTAATCATGTTTTGGGTGTACTATTCCTTTAAGACCTACGAAAGACTGATTTAAGACATTTTAATACCAATTAAGGCCTTAATTTTATTTTGAAGAATTCAATGCCTTTTAAGACTTTTTAAGGATCCGCGGGAACCCTGTAGATAAATATCTTTGGTAGCCACAGTTATTTATGATTTGTGGTACGACTGACTCCCTGTTGATCACCATGGAGAGGAGGGTGAGGAAATATCTAAATAATGTGTGGACTTTTATTTTCAATTTAAGCTGGTTTATGAAGCCCATCTACGATTAGCTTCATAAGAAGTAAAATTAAATTTCTGAGAGGAATTATGATAAAAACCATCTTCAGTTCCCCACCTTAGTTGCAATCTGGGTCATCTACCCAAAATGTGCATGGCAGTATGGATTGGTCAAGTTTTTGTAAAAGGCCACACATTTTCCTGCCAAGTTTGTTTTGTTTTTGTTTTTTTCTTTTCACAGACAGGGTTTCTACAGGAATAAATAACTCAAATTTAATGCTTTTAATGCTCGTAGAAATAATTTTAATGCCACCAACAAGTACCCGTTGACAGGATGCAGCCATGTCCCGAATTCCTTGTTTTCCAGCCACTTTTGTTGAAATTAGCTTTTTCCCCCCATTCCTAGCTTTTTCGCTGACTCAAGCTTCTTTTCTGAACGTACAGTTTTACGATCAACTTGAAGCAGTTCCACGTAAATATATCGTTATATAATATGTCTGAGGAAATCGTTTTTATAAAAATTTGTTTTAATAAAGAATTTTAAATGCCACAATAAACACATTTAATGAATTTTAATGCCAATTAAGACCTTAATTTAAAAAAAATACTATAATACTTTTGCTTTCATACTTTAAAATTTCCTTTTTCTTTTCACTTATTTAAAAAATGTCTAATGCATCACTACTTTGCGTTTCCTTAGTCCTTCAAAACACACATTTCTGTGTTCATCTAAATAAATAAATAAATGATAATCATTACACAATACAGAAGATAGAAATACATATTTGTCATCCAGGGATGCGTTACCTAGCAACAGGATCTGCTGCTTCAGATGTTGTGGTGACAGGTGCTGCGTCTTCAGAGACTCCAGGTGGCGTAGGCAGCAGGGTGCGCCGTTTGGGGCGGATCTGAGCAAAGGAGCCTGGAACAGGGTCAGGTAGAAGAGGGGCTCTGTTCCCTCTAATTGGACTGCGATCTCGCTCATTATCTGATGAGGCCGCAGCCGCCGCGGCAGCCGCTGCTTTTCTTCCAGCTTGCTGCTCTGCCAAAACCTTTCATTTGGAATTTAACAAAAAAATATCAACATGGCCACTCTTTTAGTTGTCACATTTGGATTAAAGAGAACTTTTTATGAAAAAGTTAGCAAACCTTCTGTCCTTCCTGAAAAAACTTGGCTCTTGCTGCTTCAAAAAGTGTCGTTGGATCTGGCACTGCAGGTTGCTCTGCCTCTTCACTAGCAGGATTGTGATTGGCTAGCTCTTGGTAGACCTGGTCAGCAACAGATCCATACACTTGGCTGGCAAGTGCACCGTATATGACCCCGTCTGCACCTTTAGAACTTGTGAGGCCTTTGAGAGCAGCGTAGGTCGGATCAAAGGTTGTCGTGTTGTAAAATGAGTTATGGACACTTTGTTGAACCTGAAAGAAGAAAAATATGCACATTGTTTATATGATAAGGAACACCAGCCTGATCTGACTAAATATTAACCAAAGATTAATGTCAGATTAATGTAGTTGCATTACGTTTAAAATAATAACTAAAATGATGTGCATCTGTTGCTAGAACAGATCATCCAGATCGAAATCTCATTACCTGTATGGGCAAGCCAGCGGCTGCAGCAGCAGCTGCCGCTAGCACAGCTGCTTGACTCTGGTGATGTTCCATGGATGGAGGAGGACGTGGAAGAAGACCTTCTCTGCCACCTAAAAGCAGGGAGCAAAGGTAAGATCCATGTGAAGTGTTGTCAGCGGACAAAAAAAGAAGACCATTATTAATTTCCTGTTACAACACCTGCAGCCGAATCTCCAGCCCCTGCAATCTGATTGATCAAAGGTTGGGCTTTGGAAAGCTCTACAGCCAGCTGACGCCCCTTGAACATGGTCCCATTGAGTGCCTCAATAGCTGCCAGGGCCTCCTCCTTCCTCTCCATATGCACAAACGCATATCCAACATTTGAGCATAACCTTGCTGCAAAACAAAAATTATGTGGCCATCAGCTTAAAAGACACAAAAAAATTGAACTGCTCCAGTGTTTCTTTAACTAACATTAGCTTCTCTGGAAGAAAACCTTTAGCCACTGTATCGATAAATATTTTGATTTTAACAACTTCAAAATCTTTGTTGGTTACCTTTGACTTTATCACAGTCTAAAACTCTCCCAAAGGTTGAGAAAAGTCCATGTAAATCATCTGCTGTACAAGTAGCGCTGATGTTGCCTACAAACACTTTAATGGAGTTGGGTGGGCGTGCACGTGACTCTTCGACCACCAGGGGCCTGCCTCTGTACTCTTTGCCATCTAGATGCCGGATGGCCCTGCGGAAGTTAAGAAATTAACATAATGTCAACAAATGTAGAACATTCTCTGAAAAACATTTAAATCTAAATAAGTCAATTTTTTCAGAAAATAAATGCATCTTTTCTTGAATTGAGGGGGTAATGGTGACACTTTGCCAATGGAACAAGACAATTTACCTTTAAAACAAGAAAAAAACGAGTGCATTGATTTATTTCAAGTGCATATCATCTGACTATCTTATTTTAAGGGTAAAAATACTCATTCTATTTGCAAATCACCTTATTAACCTACTGAAATTAAGGTTAAATGCACTTATTTCTAGATAATTAGTGTACTGGACCATACAGAGAAAACAGAGAGCCAGAACACATTAAGAGGATTATAGAATATGTACAAGATAAAAATGTTGACCAATATAAAATTTTCCACACTAAAACAGCGACATTCAGCAGTGTAGCTTCAAAAGACAGTAACCGCGTTAAAGTGATTTTCTATCAAAACCAAAACAAAATACAGAGTCTAATGTCAAGGAATCACATGTTGAAACAGTAATCCCATTCATGGTGCTTGTGAAGACCATCCATAAGATGTTTTTGATAAGAGCACAGGCTGACTTAAAAAAAAAAAAAAAAAACATGTTAACAGTCTTACAGATTTCATAAATGTACCTACTTAGTAAGATAAAGTTTCCGATTTTTTTTATTGCAGTTTTAAGCTCTGGGATGCAATACAATTGTTTTTTTACTCATAGCTTGAACATAATCCCAGTTTTGGCCAAATGTAAAATGACTTTTTTCTTTTTTTGTTTTGTTAGGCCAAATTACTTTGAAATACACACCTTTCCATTGAAAACAAGCCAGCAGTAAGGACTTCTTACATCTCACATAATGACGTTTGAAAGATAGTAAAACCACCCACCGATATTTAACCCGATATTTGATCAGCTTCTGAGTTTCTAAAGTAAAAAAATAAATAAATACTACTTCTTCTTCTTCCTCCTCAAAAACGTTTTTACAGACTTAAAAACTTCTAAAGACGAGGGAAAAAATATTGATACATTAAAATATCACAATATCTTCATATGCTGATATATTGCCATTTAAAAACACCATATCAATCTCTTTTACTAATGAAATATTGCTATACGTCATCGCTATGCTACGAAATCCCCCGAAAATTCACGAAATTTTGCCATATTTTTATATGTTGATATATTGACGCGGTATCAATCTATTTTACTAACAAAATCTCACAAGAATTTGCAAAATATCACGAGAGTTTGTAACAGAACGATGAAATTTCATGAGATTTTGAAAGTAAAATAGATCGATACCGCGTTTTTAAAAATCAATTTGATATCAGCATATGCAAATATATTTGAGTTTATTATTTTTCAAAGTGTCAGAAATGGATAACAGAACTGCTATTTTCAATGACTACTTATTTTTGTCCAGCTTTAACATCGGTATCGGTTATCGGCTACACGAGTTTTAAAATATCGGCATATCGGATATCAGCCAAAATCCCAATATCGTGCATCTCTAAAAAATAATAGAATAAAATCAAACATATTTAAGAATTAATAAAGTCCAATTTAAGATTAAGATAATTTTGACAAATTAAAGGATTAAAACTAAGGGTTTTAATAGTTTTCTAATCCTTTTAATGAGCAATCTATATAATTAATAATGACCTTTAATTAATCATTTATTATCATGAATAATAATAATAATAATATGCATGATGCAATAAGATACATTTAAAGTGGCAGAAAAATATGATATTTTCGCAGTTTCAACATTTCAAATCATTTGTAATGACTATTAATAAATGATCAGTTGCATACCTGTCTGCTGCGCCCTCCCCCTTTAGGGTCACGAACGCATACTGTCTGAGCAAAGAACATGTTTCTATTTCTCCGTAGGGAGCAAAAAGCTTGTTTAGTTCATCTTGAGTTGCATCTAAAGGAAGGTTCCCCACAAACAGCTTGACGTTCTCCCCGCTCATCTCTGCATCAATCTGAAAGAGAACAAGGAGGATTTATTGTGACAAGCCGTTAGCCGAGCGTTAGCAACTTAGCTGTTAAGTAAGAGCGACCCCCCCAGAACCACCTCGTACTGGCACCATTACATCATATATATATATATATATATATATATATATATATATATATATATATATATATATATATATATATATATATATATATATATATATATATATATATACATATATGTGGGGGTCAGAGTATTTACAAATACGTTTAGCATAATGACAGACGTGCTGTAAGCCAATTCTACCGTTACCTAGCAGGGAAAATAGGGTTGAATAGAGTAAAAAGTGTACCTTGACCAAAACGAACTGAGTGAAAAGATATACACGGCTAAACTCAAATAATTTTTAAATATGTGACAAAGCATACGACCACCAGTAGGCTAGAACTCCTGGCCATTTTGTTTAACATTAGCGTAAACGGTGCAACGTTAGCAGTGGCTATGCTAGCTAAAGCTAGCCCTGATACTGTGTGATTTGATTTACAAATATCTGGAACGGCCGAGGCCATTAGATTAAAACGGATACAAAGAGGCGGGTTGAGTGATTTTCTAAGCTTCACTCTAATTAAATCAAACTCATGAAAACGTTTTAGCCAGCATGTAGCAAAAATAGCTCACCCAACGCGGTCCTAAGCTGATGTGGTTCAGACGTCATTTCCTGCCATGAAAACCTAATTCGAGGCAGTTTTTTTTTTTTTTTTACTTGATAATTTATCAATTTTTACAGCTCAAAGCGCGTTTGTTTGTAAGCATTTTTAGTTTTGTATTTCAATTTAGAAAAGAAAAAAAAAACTAACGGAAGACAGACCAATGATTAACACAGTGATGAAACAAAATGTTTTACTGAAACAAAAGATCTGAAGCAATGAACTTCGCCATTCAACACATTCAACGTGCTCTTTTCATCTCTCCCATTAATTTTGGTCGATTTACCCGATCGGGTAGAGAAGAGAGTAAAGTTTATTCAAATATAAGACATATTTTTGTTAAACTTTATTATTGTAAACGCTCTTACTCAGCACACGTTCCAATACTGCCACCTGTGTTGATATTCTGCATAGAGGTGGGCGGATCGATCCCAGGATCGATACTATCGATACCAACGCTGGTATTTATATTGAACAATATTCGTTTAACAAGATCGATACTTTTTATCCTCTCTCGCGCGCGCTGACTGCTGCGGAGTCACCAGTTTCCCCATATGTGTAACAGCACTTTGCTCCCCCTCCCCTCTCCTACAGTCACATGGCTCAGCGGCGCCAGCCAATCAGCGCGCAGGCTTAGCTTGGCCTGCCCACTCAGCACTACGTCACACAGACAACCGCGCTGCCGGTTGCTGGGTGAGTGCTCACTCAGACTTGGATGGAGAGAGAGACCAAAGACCCGCCTCCAGCCTCAGACAGACATCTTTGACCCAAGCGTTTCAGTCCTCCAGAGAATATCCAGGTAGATAACAGTGGTCATCGTCTGCAGCACTTCATTATACATCATATATTACTCAGAAAGTGTAGTTAAGACCTTGAAAAAACCCAGTACATTTATCCCATTAAAAATTGTTAGCTAAAATAAGCTAACATTAGATAATCTCTTATTTATTCCACGATTGAGAACTTTATAGAAAAAAAGCAACAGGCAAGTGCAGCTTAAATGTAAAAAGTATCGGTATCGATATCGGCGATACTGACCCAGTATTTACTTGGTATCGGATCGATTAAAAAATCCCGGTATCGCCCACCTCTAATTCTGCATTCTACTACTGGTGTGCGTACGTACAACGTCTTTACGTCATGGGGTTACGTTTACTCCTAATGGTTTACGTGCAGCTGGATTTATTAACTATATAGAATCCTTAAAATTTAGCTCAAATGCTAAAGCCATTCAAATGATAACTGCCCTTAAAGAATTGCAACCCTTTAGCAGATTTGATTTTAACATTGTAAAATAATTGTTCTATATTCTGTAAAGCCCTTTGATGATGTATCTGTAGATAATTATTAATGTTCTGTTCATACGTTCTTTGTTTTAAAATAATATAAAAAAGCAGCTGTGTTATTATTCTTCAATAAATATACCTGAGAGAGGCTGAAGATACTCAATGACTCACTTATTTTTATCTTTCTGCAACGCATATACCTCTGCGCACCATTCATCCTAACAGTTGTCTATTAAAATTTTGAAGAAACTAATGCAGCAAAGGTTTTAAGATATATTTATATGCCTACTGATATTAATACATTTTAATATTTAGAATAGAAAATCCATTTGTTGTCCTACGATGGGGAAATTCTGGTGTTTACAGCAGCAAAAAGATTATAGAAAAAATGGTCACACAAATGTGGACCTTAGAACAGTGTATACAAATAACATAATAGGGAAGAGATAAAAAAAAAGTAAATACTGTACTGTAAAGTGTTTTAACAATATAAATACTGCGCACCTGGAGAATAATAAACAATATACAGCTGTGGACATTTTTTACAGTAATGGACATATGAATCAAGATGCTATGACCGAAAAAAATTTGATTGACAGATGAACGTCGATATGTGATTGGCCAAATTTAGGTGTACAAGCTGACTAACTAACTGGCCTGCATAAGATAACGAAAACAAAAACACAGATTTTAAGACAGGATTTTTTTTTATAATAGATATTTTCTGATAAAGAGTACATTGATATACATGTTTAAGCCAGAATGATTTGACATGTAAACATGAATTCCCTATAACTTTAAGTATTTCTTGTGTTTTATTATGACTCTACGTAATAGAATATTATTTCAGTTTAATATGGGGAAAAATGTCAGAATTCTGACTTTAATCTCAGAATTCTGATTTTGATCTCAGAATTCTGACTTTTTTCTCAGAATTCTGAATTTAATCTCAGAATTCCAACTTTTAATCTCAGAATTATGGATCTTAATGTAGATAGGTATCATGAAGGAAGAGATGTGGGAGCACTCAGCTTCACTGACAAATATGTGAGTTGTTTGAGGGGGGGGCAGGAACACATTAGTGGAAAATGATGGAATTAGGGGACTTTTTACATTCCCAAGGGCGCAGAAGGTGATTAAAACAAGAGAGCTAGTGTAGTCACTAAAACAGATATGGCTATGGCGTGACGCTAACATGTTTGTTAGCTGTCAGAATTCAGTCAGAATTATGAGATTAAAGTCAGAATTCTGAGAAAAAAAATCAGAATTCTGACTTTTTTCCCATGTTAAACTGAAATAAAATTAAAAACTCAGTTTACTTTTTTTTCTCAGTGGCCCTAATCCTCTTCCGTACTCTTCCGTACGACTCAGTAGCAGTATTATTTTTTTGCCCTTTCAAGTCACCAACAGGTGGCGCTGTTTTACCAGGTCAATATAAGCAAAGTGACGCACTTTAAATAGTTGTCTGACCAATTTATTAGTCAGACAAGTAGTTAGTTGATTTTTCCCCCTTTCCTTATTCTTTTTTTTTTTATGTGATCCTCTCCCTATTTTTATTTTTTCGTTTCCAGGTGAGATCAGGTGAACAGGAAGGAGGAGCCTCAGAAACATTTGAGGATCTGCAGACGCACGTCATGACAGGCAGGAGAGAGGAGAACTTCTCCTGTTGTAAACTTTGAGAAGGAAGAACATGAGGCACGTCGCTATAAAGCGGAACCCGAGGGGATAAAAAACAGAGAACTGAACGTAAAGGTAGCTAGAACCTAAAGAATGATCCTCGTCATGATGACTCATGTCAACGTTTGAACTTTGCTGACTAAACGGTGAGATTGGAGCTTGTTGAAGGGACGGAGCGCCGAGGCTGAGGAAGCAAAGTCTAAGTTTTAGGAATGCACGCTGAGCTGCAATAATGATATTGGCATGTATTCTATTGGTTGGGTTTCTATTATCATTACAAAATAGAAATAAAGTCGTATATATATGTTATTTTTATTAATATCCAATGTTGTAGTGATCTGCTTAATTGAAAGCTTTGACTTGAATTGCCATTTCATTAAGCTCTCTCTCTGAGCTGCAGCAGTTGACCAAGTCTGAACTTGCAGTCTGAATCCAGGCAGTATTTCTATGCAGGTGTGGGTCTCTAGGTGTAGCAGTCTCACCCATCCTCCTGACTAAAGGGCATAATCAACACTGATATTATAATGAGGCTCTATTATGTGCAGGGTAAAGCTAATAACGGTGTAATTACTGATGCATGTGTGTGTGTCTTCAGATGGCACAGCAGGAGGAACCTCTGTATGATTTCCCAGAGCCATCCCAGCCATCAAAGCAGAGGCTGCCTCAAAGAGGAAGGAGCTCCCTGAGAAGCATCAGTGTGTTGGACCGACTCCTGCTTACAGTTCCTGTTTGGTTGCAGCTGTCCATCAATCCGGCTAATGCTCTGCACATTCTGCAGAGGGAGCCTCCTGGGGTCTGACATATTTCTAAGCAGCATACACACACAGCGCTGGCAATGAATTTTTGGCAACTTACAGATTATTTCTTGTTTTTTACTTTTTGTTGTCCTACTTTCATGCTCAGAAAATTAAATTAGTCTTTTTTGAGTAATGTGGGGTAAATTTGACTCATTCTTCTTTGCAGAATTGGTCAGTTCAGTCACAGTTAAAGGGGAACGCCGTTTTTTTTTTACATTGGACCCTTGATTTTACGTTATTACATCATATCTGCATATCCATGCAGTTATATCCAAGTAACGTCTTCCTATGGGCAAAGACTTGAAGGCAAAAACTGAACTGTTTAGAATTGATACTTTATGGTACGCCAGCATTCATAACATTTAGGCGAATCACTGTCCCCCAGACATCGCAGTTATATTTTTTATATTTATATCTTTTAAAAACAAAGCGTTTTTAAACAAAGCGCGCTGGACTGGAGTCGTAAAAGGAAGCCTGGGCCACAGGCTTCTACGTTCTACCTCTTCTATTCATTCGGCGAGCTAATCTGAATAGTTCAGTTCCATTTCGAGAGCGAGATCCTCTGTGGTAGTAGCACTAGACATCTTCCAGGCATGTGAGTAAAACTAGCAGCAGTTCAGCGGACAGAAAGAATGAACGGTAACCGGCGCACGCAGATGACGTCATACACGCGCCGCTTTGTTTAAAAAAAAAATAAAATAAAAAATATAACCACGGATGTCTTAGGGACAGTGATTGGCCTACATGTTATGAATGCTGGCGTAACATAAAGAATAAATTATGAACAGTTTAGTTTGTGCCTTCAAGTCGTTGTCCATAGGAAGACGTTACTTGGATATAACCTAACCGAATATCTTCAGAACAGCTCCAATTGACACAAAACTCATATGGGTGAGTAGAACATGATGGAATAACATAAAATCAAGGGGCCAATGTAAAAAAAAAAAGCGGTTCCCCTTTAAATTTTTTTTTTCTAGCATAATTTATAGCTTAATCTATTATTTTTTTTACTTTTGGTACACATGTGACTATACTGGTCCAATAGAAAAAAAATCATGGACCATGATTTAAATCTCTTAGCTGATACATATCAATCCATTAACATTCAGAAAATGATTTATTGGCTTTTATGCTGCGTTTAACATGTTTTTTTCATCAAAACATGGCACATCTAAAGGACATTCTCTATTCTACAAATCTGTGTTGTGCAATTAAAACTAACATTTTTTGTTTTAATAATTTAAAATTTAGGATCTGGTAAATTTAAGTTTGACAAAGTAAAATTAATCTTTAAGGATAGTAAATACTTATTCACTGTACTGTTCTAACACATTCCATTTTTTAGTTCAGATATGTCCTCAAAACTGTCTTTTGTAATCAGATTTGTACTCGTTTGTAATCAGATTTGTTGTCCAGCAGACATTCCTGGTGAGAAAGTCTCGCACATCTGGAAGGAACGTACTTTGCGTTCGTTTGGCGGATGACAGTGTGCCTTCATTTGTTCAGGAGTTTGGCATCAGGGAGGAACAGTCAAGTAAGAACATTGATTTATCTGTAACCCTTTTTTCTTAGCCACCATCTATCTTGTCTCAATTAATGCTTATATCACAACTGATATGTTTTATAGATTAAAAGACACTGGTGGACCTGACTAAGACAAATCTTTTCTGTTTTTAGACCTAGCTCAAATTCCTCCATAAACACGGGTGTTACTTTTTAATTATCTGCACATATTTATGCTAATGTCTCTATTTGAAATGTATGACCCGCCCTGATAAGGATGTTGCCTCAATTTTTAAAATGCTCTATGTTTATTTTATAATTCTGTTAATAACTGTTGTTGGCATTATAAACCTTGCCCAGGAAAAACAGTTGAAAAGTAGCTTCATAGCTATTACTGAAACATTTACAGAAATGTTTGTCAATGTGTATTGTCCCTGACAAATAAATAAATAAACTTTCAAATGAGATACATCGAAAGCATATTGGGTTGATATAATTTTAATATTAAAATAATATTACAATTAATTAATATATTAATGCTGATGAAGATTCTCAGTCATCCAGGCCATAGTCATTCCGTAAAAGTTGAGAAAAACAATCTGCTGGACTTGGTTTCCAGATTTGAAGACGTTTCGCTTCCCCTCCAGGAAGTAGTTCACTATGTCTAAACCTGTCTATAGACAGGTTTAGACATAGTAACCTATAGACAGGTTTCAGATATTACAGGCTAACAATGGAACCAAACGACTCACTCATCGGTTTCAATTTGCATGTTTCCAAGCAATACAAGGCCTTGTCTCTATAAAGACTCAAACTCACTGCGGATCCAGACATTTGAATTGAGAAAGCTTCCTGGAGGGGAAGCGAAACGTTTTCAAATCTTGGAAACCAAGTCCAGTGGATTTTTTAAAAAACTTTTACGGAATTAATATATATATATATATATATATATATATATATATATATATATATATATATATATATATATATATATATATATATATATATATATATATATATATATATATTTAATAATTATTTATAGTGGAATTCCGGTATGCACAAGTTATGAAAAGGTGGGAGCCAAGAGGTTAATAAATATTTTAGCCTTTTTTTAACAAAATATTTTTCCCTCCAGATAAGTTTTTTTTTCTTGTTTTTTTTTCAGCTTTTATTGTCATAACACCAGAGATGGCAAAAGTACTGACTTTCCGTACTTGAGTAAAAGTACAGATACTTGTGTTAAAAAATACTCTGGTAAAAGTGGAAGTACTGATTAAACTTCTTTACTCAAGTAAAAGTAACAAAGTACAGGCTTGTAAATTTACTTAAAGCATAAAAGTAAAAGTAGAAACCACTTTTTTCATGCCTTTGCCTACATTTTAAATGGATGTCTGCCAATAGGACTAGATCTCCGTTGTGTTCATTTTCAATCATCTCGTCGTCCATACTACTATGCTAACGCCACCGCCACCAAGCTGCAATGATTTGCCGCGAATGAATACCGCCGAATCTGTGGATTCATCTTGTAGTGGTGCGTCAAATGCAACGTAGATTCCCATCCAATTAGATTGAATTTGGTATTGATGACGTGAAAAATAATAACGGTAACTCCATTGAAATGAGTCAAAACTAAAGTAACGAGCCAATTTTTTTAAATGTAAGGAGTAGAAAGTACAGATATTTGTGTAAAAATGTAAGGAGTAGAAGTAAAAAGTCGTCATAAAAATAAGTAGTAAAGTAAAAATATCAGAAAAATCTACTTGAGTACAGTAACGAAGTGTTTGTACTTCGTTACTTCCCATCTCTGCATAACACCATCAAAACTACAGAGCAACAAAATTAACTCTCTGCATTTAACTCATCCGCATCGGGAGCAGTGGGCTGCCATTGTGCGGCTGCCGGTAAGCAGTGTGGGGTTAAGGCTCTTTTGCTCAGGGAGCCAGAGTGTCAGTCTGTGGGAGTGGGGCTTGAACTCAGAACCTCTGGATTCCAAGCGTAATGCCCTAACCACTAGGCCAACACTCCCCTCACTGCTCCCCAAGGGGATGGGTTAAATGTAGAGAGTGAATTTTTTCCCATTGTGGGACAATAAAGGGATATCAAAGTATTTAACTGATGTAGGTCTAGCTTTAATTAAGGCAAACACACTTTTGATTGCATGATTGTCACAAGCTGATGCAGTGCCAGGACGAGTTTCCTGCCTGGAGCTGCACTTGTTTGTTTTTTTGGACACCACAGCCTAGTCTTTTTCCTTTAAAACACCATCCACTCAGTGAAAACCGGCGTTGTCAGCAACATGCTACGAGGAAGCTTCTCTGGACTCAGTTGATGAGCAGATAGGCAGGTTAAATACAGGGTAATCCCATGAAAATACCTGTTAAGGCTGCAGATCACCGAGGTGGAGGCTCACCTTCTAGCAGGATAACAAGCATAAACGTGGAACTGAAGCTGCAAATATGTATTTAGAATAAAGCAGATTTATCTGTCAGACTGGACCAGTCAAAGGAAAGACTTTAATCCAACTAAATAACTGTGGCAAGACTTGATAATTGTTGCTCACGTGTAATATTTATTGAACCTGATGCAGTTTCATCAGGGAGGAGGCTTCTGTTAATGCATTATACTATTTCTAAATCTAAGTTTAGGAGCTTTATTTATTGTTGACAATTATTTATTGTCTGTCTAAAACAGGGTCATATCTTTGCGCTACTAACTGCAGCATGTTTGACTTGGATATCTAAGCCAAAAGTGTCAATAACACATTCCTTCAACATGTTACTGCAATAATCTCACATTGGAAAGATTTTTGCAACCATATAGTTTGTTTTTAATTCAATAGGATTTTATAGATATAATCAGTTTAGGAATCAATATGAGAATTAAGTCTTAACACATTGTTATACTCGTCTTATCAACAGCTCTGTCTCTGGAGAGTTCGGCCATCAGCTTTCCAGATCTCCCAAGACTAATTTCATTTTACTGTGTCAGCAGGTAAAAAAAAAAAAGTCAATATGCTTTTTCTAGTATTTCATCATCGATCATGTGGTAAACAGGTGCCACAGCTTCTTATGTGATTGCATGTTGTCTGTGTGTCTCAGAGATGTGTTACCTTTTCCTCTGGAGCTTCCTGAAGCCATTGCGAGGGCGGCGTCACACAAAGAGCTGGAGTCCATCTCCCACATGGGAATTGGTGAGGGAGTGACCTGTTTCCTCACGGCGGATTTTGCAACCTAACCTTTGATTTTCTACTGCTTTGAAGAAGGAGTTCCTTTACATGACTCACTGACAGACAGTTGATCTGGATAGTGTACACACCCTAGTTAAACTGCAAAAGAAAAACAGCTACATCAATATAAATGTTAAAAACTTAATATAGAAAGAAAATTTCTGGTAAATAACAATAAACCTATATAAACCGGAAGTAACCCCTTCCCTTTTTACACTGAATTTAGACGCCGAATTTAAGACAGTGAAATAGAGCCAGTTGAATCTCTGGAGGCTAAAAATATTGAGTTTGAATTTTGAAACGTTGAATTTTTTTATATACTGATTTTTATAACATTGAAAAATTAAACTGAAAAATAAGTATTGAAAATGTAATCACTTTGAAATAGTAATGTGAATTTTTAGCTTGAAGAGAAAATAACAAATTAAATTTAAACTGTGTAGAAATAATGACAATCAATTTTTTTTTGGGCCAAAAATGTGTTCCGAATATATTTTAACACTGAAACAGTAAGTACAAACATACAACATTTACTTTTCAGTCGCATTTTTAATTCAAATCCTAGCGACACAGATTTCTTTCCATATATAGGATGTACACCTAATACTGGTTAAGCTGTCCTATTAATACATGTGTAACAGTGTTTGCTACGCCCTTTAGCCAAAACCACTTAGGCTTACATAGGATAAACAGATTTAGCTTTGAAATAGATACCAAAAAAGATTACAAAATGAAACTTTACAAAAGGAAACCGCTTAGTGATAATATAAAATATATATATACAGTATATTGGACAGTTATGAGATAATGTAACATTAACATTGAAGGAGGTGCAGGAATTTCCGCCTTTGTTTTATAGGTAAGGAAAAATATTCATACCCCTAACAAATGTATGGCAAAAGGAGAGACTGACTGACAGCCCTAAAATGATTATGCAAGATAGAAGGAATAGAAATGTGTGTAAAAGTATTTGCACCATTCCAATTCATCAATAGAAAATATTTACTAGCCATACAGCAATCAGCTCCTTGCTGCCACATTTTTTTCCATTCTGATGTCTCTTTGCTGATTTGTTTTTGGTGATCAGTTGCAAGTCTGAAGGTTTGAAGACCTGCTTGCCATCACCATCCTTTATAATTCCAGCCTTGTATTCTCTAAGAAATTTAACCTGGACTCACTTGACAGAAGACAAATTTTACTAAAAAGGAAAATATAACTTTAAGTCTAAGTTTTATACTTAACCATATTAAAGATTAAAGGTATAGTGGGGGATGTTTTTTTTTTCTGGGTGGATAAAAAATAAGCGGTCCTTTTAATTGTCAATCATTCTGGTGATATGTTTATGTAAGGCCGTCCTACTTCCTTGTCCCTATTTTCACTTATCAGTGGTGAGTCTGACATAGTGGAAAAAACTGCAAATCTTCTTGTATGAACCATGTAAACAGCAACTTTTAAACAGAGCGTGCACGAGGAGAAATCTTGTGCACGCTCTTGCACACGTTTAAAAGGCAATCCCTCTCGGGAGCCGGTACAGAGTTGAGCATGTGCTTTGTTTTTTTTAAATCTTAAAAAAAAAAAAAAAAAAAAAAAGCAAAAATCCTCAACTATAGATATAAAGAAACCGGAATCCAAAAACATGATTCTTTTCTCCCATAGAAAACATTAATACCAGGCTGAAATCTTCCAGAACCTAATGGAAGCATGACTAGATCTTAATCCCAAAATGTACATTATTTTAACACTGAGCATGATTAACAGGTATATCTCAAAGACATATTGAAACATGGTAGTTGTAGAATCGTGCAGCTGGAATACTTTTCTTCAGGTGGATCTGGGTTTTTGTGGTGCAATAAACAAACCATAATATAAAACAAATAAAACCATTATTAAGCAGTGAAACACGGGCGATTCAGTCGTTTTAATTCAGTGATCTGGAGTTCATATTCGCCATCAATTACTGTCTGACTGAATTCTTTGTCACATTTCTTTCCAACCTTTGGCAAATTCTCTACCAGCCATTTTTGGCTTGAATGTTTCTGTTCAAAACCTAAAAACAATATAATAATCTTGGGTCCAAAGACCTTAATCTGAAAGGAAATCGATTAGGCACACATGGAGCGTATACTAACGGACTTTTTTTTACTTTTTAATATTGTTTCCTTCTAACTACAACTTTTCAATTTAAGCATACAGGTTAGATGTTACATTATATGTAGAAAAGGTTTTTCTATCTCATTATTTCTTTAGAAGAGTAAAATATTTGAGAAAAGATGTGGATTTTTGATTGCCATTGCATCCTGAATATAGATATAATCTTTCCTATTTAGAAAAAAAAATTATTAATTTTAACCCTGTAATGCCAAATGTATCATATTTGATACATACAGTTTCTGAAATGTTTTGCGTCTGACACCTTTTGCATAATTTAATATTAAAAACTTTGCTCAAAATCCTGTTGTACACAATCAGATATACCTGATAACAGAGGGCAGAAGACTACACAAAAAATAATCTTGACTTATCGCATAGTAATAAATTATTAATATCAAAAATATATTTCTGTTTTTTCTCTTTACATATTTTGTTAAAAGGCCAAATAAGGACTTCAAACCAAAAAAAAGTAATTTTCTGTTTTGTTTTATTCTTGGATCGGGCTTTAAAGGGTTAACAACAAAATAATAGAATTATTTTTAATAATAAAATTTTTATTTTATTCACCAATGAGACTATTTTAACTGGAACATCCATCCATCCATTTTCTGTCATGCTTATCCCAGGCAGGGTCACAAGGGGTGTTGGTGCCTATCTCTAGAGGCGGGGTCCACCCTGGACAGGTCGCTAGTCCATCGGGCAACACAGAGACAAACAACCATTCATGCACACACTCAAACCTAAGGACAATTTAGTGAAACCAATTAACCTAACAGTCATCTTTTTGGACTGTGAGAGGAAGCCGGAGTACCCAGAGAGAACCCACGCATGCAAATGGAGAATATGCAAACTCCATGCAGAAAGACCTCCGGGCTGGGAATCAAACCCGGAACATTCTTGCTGCAAGGCAGCAGTGCTACCCACTGCACAACTGAGCAGCCCTTAACTGGTACATTTACTTTAATAACATCCATTTTCTTTTCTAGAATTCTGGCGTTCCCATCTAAATGTACGTGGACCACGGGAGGCTCCTAAAGCCAGAAAAGAGGAGAAGCAGCCAGATGCTGCATCATCTGCTATACCTGCTATCCTACAGACCGACTCTAATGCTCAGCCAGAGTCTGGTCTCCAACCAGATTCAGAGAACCAACCCAGTGCAGCTGAACCCCACTCAAACGGCACCAAATCGTATTCAAATCCAACCCTCTTCCAGGAGTTTTGTCCAATCACAACGCGCAGCCCCAGAGAGCTGGACTGCGGCTCTGGCCAGGGCGCCCTCTGCTTCATTAACCCTCTCTTCCTACAGTCGCAGAGTGCTTTCTCCAGAAGGCACATGTTCAAACGCAGCCTAAAGGTTCGAGTTTCCACAGAGACGTCCAGCTTGCTCTCGCCTCCGCTCGCTCCCCCGCCTCCTCCACCCCTCATGCCTAAAACCAAAGGGAGACGTAAAGGTCTAAAAGCAGGAGGCTTTGTTAAACCCAACGGGGATACGTTTCATGTTGCTCAGGTTGAGCCACCTCTCATTGAGCTGGAGGAGGAGCCTCCATCAGGAGATCTTTCCTTAATTTCAGACATAAAGGAGGAGGGCCAACCGGAGTGTGGAAGCAGCACCACTGAAGATGACAAACAGGAAGTACCTGCAGCTCTTTTAGATGACTACTTGCACCCTAATCCTGTGATCAGTGCTCCCTCGCTCTCCCCTTACCAATCACCTTCCATTTCTCCAAGAGCACCTCCTCTTTTCCCTAAAACCAGCTATTCACTGTCTCCCCGCAACTCTCCCAGTGCTTCCCCATCCATTTCACCTTATCAGTCGCCATCTTTATCCTCTCAAGTACCTCTGTCTCTCTCTCCATACGACTCACCAAACCTTTCTCCCTCTCTCTCCCCTGTAACCGTGCAGAACACCTCTGCACTGGCAGGACAAGGCTGCTGTGCGGATGCTGCTCCTTCAGGGTCAGGGCAGGAGGCTGTGAAGGAAGTGACTCACACAGACAAGAATACAGAGGATGATGGAGAGACAAAGCATTTGAATGAAGAGAGAGAAAAAGAGGGGACAGATGTGGATTTAGAGAGAAGTGCTGAAGATGATGGCTTCAGTTCTGTCAGTGATCTCAAAGAATCACTAGAGACTCCTCCTCAGTCACCCCATAAACCGGACATGGTAAAAGAATGCAAAGAGACTTAGGCTGTTTAGGAATTTTAAAGTTATAGCATTTTTTTGAAAGAACAGAGATTGCTTATATAAATAATTATTTAATTGACATGATTCCTTTTCCTGAGCTCACGACTGTTAAGCATTCATTTGCTCTTGGTTTTTTATGAGGGTGCGTGTCTTTTCCAATTCAACAAAGCTAAGAATTGTTTAAATGTTTACTAAGATACACATCAAGCTTTTTTTTTTTTTTTTTTTTAATAAAAATCCTCTTTAATCTATGAAGAGATTCTTGTTCTTTCCAACTGTAAATAAATGAAATCCGTAATGAATTGTATTATTTTTATTTGATATTACAAGATTTATTCAGAACATTTTTAACTAAGCCAATAAAAGTGAATAAATTTAATTATGATATTCCAAGCACCTAAGTTAAATTTCCAATAAAGGAATATAGCTTTTAAAATGGTTAAACTTTATAGACAATAACACTTTTCATCTATGCATTGAACATGATGACCTTTACGTAGACTATTCCTCTCTTGCAGATAAAAACTAAGCACTTAAAGTGCTTTAATGAGAGTAAAAGATAAAATGTGAATTTAAAGAGGATGTTTAACTGGCTATTATTCATCATAGAGTTCTACCAGTACTTCCATCTACATTGTTCTTCAAAATACTTCAACAGCAGTAACTGATACATACCTTATTCCATAGAATCATTTTTTCACAATTAGACTAAACTTTATAACTTGGGATTACTCCTTCAGAGAAATTCTGGTTTCAGTAGCTTATTAAGAGTACAAAGAGTTAAAGCAATGTGCCATTAAAGATAAATATACAACAGGCAAATAGGGTATATAAATATAGTATCAAAAAAGCATACTATAAAGAAAGAAGTTGTAATGTCCTGGACTATGTTTTTGTTAGATATAAAAATATCATCACAGTAGAGCGCTAAAGGAAGACTACACAGTATTTGACTTGGATTATTGCATAACAAAAGCAGTATTTTGTTTTTATATATTTTGTTGTTTTGTGTGCAAGTTAAGGCAGAAGTCTAGAGCATTAGAGGCACAAGTCAGGAAAAAGTACTTTGACTTATTACAATAAACCAGAAGAATAGGGCCAAAAGGAGAAAAATAGGTATTTTTTCAAAATTCTGATTATTTTCTTATCTTTCCGATGTTAAAAGTATGAATTGAGATTAAATGAGTTCATTATTTATACATGAATGAAACAATCCAAACAATTCTTTATGTGAAAATTCGACAAAAAATATTTAAGGTTAAGTCAACTTCAAAGAAGAAAGTATAAAAAACCTTAAGAAAAAAAAAGAGACATTTTCTTTATTGTTTTTAGCCACCAATCAGCATAGGTACACAAAGTCAAATATCATGACAGAGGAAATTATTTAACTAAAGAAACCATTGATTTTTCCAGGTAATGCAGTTTTTATTCTCATTAGAAAACATGTCGAGTGCCTCTAGCAAAGAGATCCATTTCATTACATATGAGCTCAAAATGATTAGATACACATCGTATGGCTTATTCATTTTAAGAGCTGAATTTTTCACAATTTAAACCTTTCGTAAATCTTCAGCATGGGAAACTTGACTTCGGAGGCCATTCTTTAAACAAGAGGAGCAATCCTCCATCAACACCAGCAGGAGGCGTCTGCTTTGTTCAGATCCAAAAGGGTGTTTTCCAGCTGCTCTGCGTCATCTTGGAAGCGTTCGGTGAAGGAGCGAATCAAACCTGCTGCGCTGCCTTCATATTCCACCAGCTCCACATTCTCCCCTGGAAACCACAGAGGAGCGTTAGCTAAATATGGAAACTAATAACCAAGTATTACAGGCAAGATCTGACTCCTGTTTGTGTCGCTGATATGTATACTTACCGATGATTCTGGTGTTGGCCTGGACAAACATTTTGCGCGCCTCTTTCCTCAGCAGCACGATTTCCCGCAGACGAAGGAAGTTGTGAGCTCCGGTGTCGCTGACAGTGGAGTAAGCCTCATAGAGAGCTCTGCCTCCTTCCACATCTGCTGTAGACTTTAAGATCTGTAAATGGGTTGGATTGGATCAGATCAGGCCTTTTAAAGGATTTAAGATCTCAACAGGGTGGAGCCATGGGTTTAAGGTTTCAGCAGGTCAAGGACCCCAAAGACAACCAGAATCTCAAGGTTTAGGATGTCAAACCCTCATTTTTTTATTTGAAAAATCTGTTAAAATCAATTTTTTTTCTCCACTTAAAATTGAACTATTTTAATTGCTATCCTGAATAATCCAAATAAAATGTACGCCTTTGTTTTCTTCAAGATGGATTTCAAAAGGTTTGGGCGGAATAAATACTTAATTCATGAATCTTCAATTGTTGATTCAAATTTATGTTTTTAATAATTTACCATAGAGTTGGGAAAAAAGGATGGCAAATGACAAATTAGGCCCAAGCCTTTATTTTTTTAAACGGGCGATAAAAAAAAAAAAAAGGAAATAGATTTTTTTGTATAACGCCGCAATTTTGGCTCTCCAGAGCTTCCCTAAATGGAGTATTACTCCCACGTTATAGTTCAGCAAGCGACATCATAGCTACCGAGGAGAGTGGCAATTAGTCCTGAAAAAAGGAATAAAATCATCCGTTGTTTAGAACTGGTCTGAGTTTGCTGAGAGAGATGTGTAGCGAGAAACCCCACGCTGTAACATTTGCCTAAAGGCAGTCGCAGTTAAAGGCCACGGCCTTTAGGTGATTTAATATGCTGCTAGAACTTTATTAATTCTGCTTAGGTGCTCACCGTGTCCATAAAATGAACTTAGTGGTTGAATTGTGGAGAATCTAAGCTTTCTAAGGATGCATAATATGTCTATCGTGGAAAAAATTATTTTCATTTGTACTGCTGTTTGTTTCTCTAAATATGCACGATAATAAGTAGAGAAAAAAAAAAAACGCAACTCGAGAAAAAAAAAAAAAAAAAAAAAAAGCATAATCAAGCTGCTGGGCATCTCGGGTAAAGTGGATGTACCTGCAGTTTACAGAGGAACCTGTGGATGGCGTCCTTGCCCACAGTGCTGATCTTGCTCCGGTCTAGTGTGATCCGTGCGTCGGGCTTGCCGTCCTGCCCCGTTACCTCCTCCAAGCCCACCAGACTTTCTCCCGCCTCCAGCAGCACGCGCAGGATGACGAATCTCGCCTGCATGTGAGCCTGGAGCAGACAGATGAACGTTAACAGGCTGGAGGCATCTCCAGACAATCATATAAGCACGCTGTCTGACTTAACGCAAACAAAGCGCAAAACATCACAGACTCTGCAAACTAATCACAGGAAAAATGTGTGAAATGATGTGCAACACTACTTAACATATAAACACCACATATATCACAGGCTGACAAAAGTAAAGCGTCTCCAGCCATGTGTCAGGTAGATGGATCACCTGTCTCCAGCTTTTGCTCTCAGGCGTATAAAACTCCAGACCCAACAGCCCAGCTCTGACCATGCTCAGCCAGTTGGCGTAAACCACATCCTCAGCATCCTGACCTTCATGGCCGAAAATACTGTGACAGAAAACATACAGGTAACGGTTACCATGGCAGCCTCCCTCAGTGGGATCAGCCACCAAAAAGACTAAGATAAACAGAAATAATACAGGTTAAGAAGAAGTTTTGTATAATGAAACATTTCAAATAGGTTAGAAGTAACTTCAGATTCTTATATTTTAGAAAATAAATCATCCACTTGTTCTCAGAGTCTGGTTCTACAACCATTTAAAATGCTACCTAAGGTGATCAAATCACTTAAAAAGAATTTAAGAATTATATCTGCTCTATTCAAACAAGCCAATTCTGTTCAGTCTGTTAATTTTAACATTAGGAACAAGCTGACTGGGGCCTGATGAGTCACAGATGGGGCTTTTGTTTCTTTTGGCCATTTTGTCCTTAACCTGGCAGAAAATTTGGAGGTTCACCTGTTTCAGGGTAGCCTAGCAACAGTGTTGGATGCTCTCCCTGTGTGAACAATATTGGAGAGAAGATAGGGGCTTTAAATAGTCTATTAATTACGATAAACCCCTTCAGTAAATGATGGCTTCTCTAAATTGTAGAGAATGAATTTGATTGGAAGCACCTTACTTACTCCCCAAAATTAAAATAACCAAAAATTGAAAAAGTGGAACTTTTTTTTCTCCTTGACTATAACTCTAACGTCAATGTTTCTTTACTTTTAGGACTAATTCAAGTATTTCCAACAGAAATATGTCCATTTACATCCCATTTTTTAGACTTCACACCTCAACACTTGCTTGTTCAGACACAGATAGAGCCCAACACATTCTGCTCGGCATTCTTCATAGGAAGAAGCAATCGTGGAGAATTTACTGTCCCACGTCTCGCTGCCACGATACCAACTTGACACCTGTTAGGTAATCAGACATCTTTATTTGTCATGTGCAAACCATAGTTATTAATGAGTGTCATTATATGGGCAGAGATCCCAGCCCATCAGAGTGAAACTAACCTTCTCTCCCGTCTCTGGGTTCACCACCTTACTCTGATCGAAGTTGAACTTGCCGTGGTCGTCCTTAAAGAGCCAGTTAGTTAGGAAGGACAGTTAGTTTATTCATTTCATAAACATAAGTATCTCTAATTTCTCTGAAAAACAAACTAGAGAGGAGAAAATAGTCGCACAAGTTTTTGACTGACCTGGACAAATAGCTTTCCACTTCCATGACCCAGGAGCTCATGCAGACCGACCTGCACCTCGAAGGATGGCCCCTTCCATTTGATAAACAAATCCTGAGGCAAAAAAAATAACATGTATATCATCTGACCTTACTTAGGTAAATCTTTGGGCATAGAGCATAATTAGGCTGCTACCTTATCCTTCTCTTCCAAGAAGGTGAGTTTTTCTTTCTGTGTGGCATAGGCTACAGCCAGCACATTCCCTAGGGACACGTTCTTAAAGCCCTCTGACTGCCTGATGTCATCATCTACATAAAAACAAAAAATACAATCAATGCTTAAAAAAAAAAAAAAAAAGGAAAAACTGAGCAGCAGAACCAGGTTGAAGTTTGACTCCCTGTGGACCTACAATTTGGGATGTTAATCCCAGCTGGAATTCCACTGCCAGCGAACGTTAGAACATCCAGGGAAGTAAAGTCTGGTTTAAGGAAGGTGTCCTTCTCAAAGTCCTGGGGCCAGGGTAGCTCAGGCAGCAGGACTTCTGCTGAGCTGACCAACTTGGCAAAACGCTCGCT